ATATGTGTATAGATGTTCTGCTTATGCTCTATCTATAATATTTGGGCTTACTATACAGCGCTTTCCTGTATTATATGTGCCAGTTTAGCTCATGCTTTTTGTTATTTTTATGGGTTATAATTTCTTGGTGGGTCTTCTGTCTCTATGAAAGACTAAACTGTGATTTTATATGACATGGAGGGAGTAATATTTGAAGTTGCTCTTAAAGGCAGTATTGAGGGGCCATGCAGTAGGGAAATTCAGCTCAAATAACAAAGACACAAAGGACAGGCTTCTGTTCTGCTGCAGAGACATGGTCACTTAAAAGTTAGCTTAGAGAATTAGCAAGAACCACACTGAGAAGCACCACAGAGCTTAAGTAGTTAGGGAATGGGAAGTAATGGTGTAAAGACAATGGGAAGTCTCTCAGAAGAAAGGGAAGTTTTGGTCAGCACAGGCTTAGTAATGGCTAAAGGACACATTGGCAAAGAGTAGAGAAGGCATTCCAGGTTTGGAGAATGGCCTTTCTAGGGCCCAAGGAGAGGCAAGTCATGTGCTGGGTGCTATCTGCCAATTAACTTGGCTCAAGAGGAAGGTCATGTTAGGGCATAACAAAAATGAGGTTGACACCAAGCCCAGAATGCTAAACCCAGAAACAACCAGTAAACAAGGGATCTCAATGCATTCACGAATAGGCACTGAGATGATGAAAACTACAATATCCTTAAAAAAAAAAAAAAAAAAAGTGGCCACCAAGTAAATAAAGTTGCAGAAATAAAAGCAGGGGCAAAGGAAGTCATTTGAAGCAGTATTTATTGTTGTTATTGTTGTTGTTATCATCATTATTTCATCATCATCATTGTTGTGTTTTGCTTCGTTTGAGACAGGGTTTCTCTGTATAGCTCTGTCTGTTCTGGAACTCACTCTGTAGACCAGGCTAGCCTCAAACTCAGAGATCTATTACTTGCCTCTGCCTCCAGTATGCTGGAACTAAAGGTATGTGCCAGCACACCCAGCTTGAAGCAGAAGTTTTATAAACAAGATATATAGGGGCTGAAGAGATGGCTCAACAGTTAGGAGCACTAGCTGCTCTTGCTGAGAGCCTTGGTTAGATTCCCATCACCTACATTACAGCTCACCAATCCCCTGTAATTCTGGAGATCCAACACTGTTCTACCCTTTATGGGTACTAGTACACAAACACCGTGAACATATACGTGTAAGTACACACGCATACGCATAAAATCAAAGCAAACCTTTTATTTTGAATTTATTTGAATTTTTGAGACATCATCTCTCTGTGTCTCTCTGAGCTCTGGCTGGCCTGGAACCTGATGCTAAATTAGGCTGGTCTCAAACTCAGAAGAGCTCCTCCTGGCTCTGCCCCCCAAGTGCTGGGAATAAATGCATACAGCACCAAGCCCAGCTAAAGTTTTTGTTGTTGTTTGCCATGTTACATTGTTACACATAAATAAAAACAAAAACTCCCGCAAAAGCAGTAATCACTCCTAACTGCTGAGCTATCATCTTTCCAGCCCATGAATTGCATCATCTTTAACTACAGCATGGTCATGTTGAAATAGCTCTAAAAATCTTATGATTCTAAGTTGTGGAGCACCGACCCTGTATTAAAATCTACAATCGTAAGAAGCCATTTCTAGTAACCTATAATTGCAGGGCCACAAAGCTAAGGAATCCAAGAGTGATTTGAAAACAAGAACAAAGCTGCCAGATAACAAATCCCTGCTGGAATTTTGCTGTGGCTTTGATAGGCCAGGGAGTGATTGATGACAAAGTGAAACCTGCCAGGGACCAGGAGCTGGAGACAGGAAAGTTCTAAAAGGCAGAGTCCGTGAGTTTAGTGCAGCATGCTTGGCTTTGGGGGGACAAACTGCTAAGTATTGAGAGATAAGGATGGAGTGTGGGTATTTGAAATGGGGAGAAGAAAAGTATAAAGATTTCATTGTAGATAAAACCAAAGGAGATCACTTAGTTCCTTCCCTAACTACACTTACAGGTCTTGCATTTATTTCCGTTCTCATTTATCCTGGGTTCTTCTTGTAGCTAAGTAGGACCATAAACTGTGATGGAATCACGACATACGCACATTTACTTTAACTGGGAAGCATTGTGAGGCTCACAAAGAGATGGGGTGGGGGGGGAGTGAAGAGAAGGAAGGGATCAGGAAAAGCCTGCGGATTTAGTCAGAAATAGTCTACTTAATGGAGACGTGAAAACACTCCCTTTTCACTTCTGGCATCTTCCCTGAGTGTGAGCATTATGCTCCACTGGAGTGCAACTGTGAATTTGAAGATGCACATTTCTCATGACTTGACTTCTTACATTCTTACACACTGGTGTCCAGCTGAAGGAACAGAAAATTGTTTCTAACAATGGTGGGAAATTGGCTCTGTTGGGCTTAAGGAATTAATCTTTTCATCTGATATAGTGGTCTCATGGCTACAAGGTGGTAGGCTGAAACAGGAAATTTCCAGGTTCAAAGTCAGCTTGGGCTAGCAAAACTGTGTCAGAGAGAGAGAGAGAGAGAGAGAGAGAGAGAGAGAGAGAGAGAGAGAGAGAGAGAGAGAGAAGGAGGGAGGGAGGGACAGGGAAGAAACAGAGACAGAGACAGCCTATTTTTAATTTGCTACTTAAAGCACAATAGGACATGTAAAGGATGAAAGATACTTAATATCATGAACTAATACATATTGTTTTGTTTGTTTGTTTTGAAATAGGGTTTCTCTGTAGCCCTGGCTATCCTGGAACTCACTCTGTAGAACAGGCTGGCCTTGAACTCACAGAAATCCACCTGCCTCTGCCTCTCAAGTGCTGGGATTAAAGGACTAGTGTGATGCCACTACTGGGCTATATTAAATTGGAGATGGCTCAGTAGAGAACTGACTGCTCTTCCAGAAGACTGAGGTTCAATTCCCAGTGGCCATAAGGCAACTCACAGATGTCTGTAACTCCAGTTCCAAGGAATCCAACACCCATGGCAAAATACCAGTGCACACAAAATAAAAACTAAACAAAAGGAGAGATTTGTTTAAAAAGTTTTTTAAAGTGATGGCTGAAGGTAGTTCGATTGATAGAGTACTTGCTTAGCATGAATAAAGCCCTGGATTGATCCCAAGGGACACTTAAAACCAGGTGTGGGTATGCACTCCTGCAATCTTAGTACTCAGGAGGCAGACAGGAAGGTCATTTAATCTTTGTGTTTATTGTGAGTTCAAGGACAGCCTTGAATATGTGAGACTATTCAAATAAAATAAAATAAAAATTGATAAGGGAGTCTCCAACTGTATTTGGGATCCCAAGGAGGTAAAGTGTTGAAATCTTGACCTGTTTCTTCCTTCGATTTCATAAGCCTATGGTGAATTCTAACAATAATCTTTTTCCTTCCTTTTAGTGTAGTAGTTACTTTTTGCCTTTTTTTTTTTTTTTTTTTTTTTTTTTTCCCCCGTGACAGGGTTTCTCTGTATTGTTTTGGGGCCTGTCCTGAAACTCACTCTGTAGACCAGGCTGGCCTTAAATTCAGAGACCCACCTGCCTCTGCCTCCCCAGTGCTGAGATTAAAGGTGTGTGTCACCACCGACTGGCAATATACTCTATATTCATATACTTTAATTCAATCAGACTGGCTATACCTCTATTGCTTACTAGCAATAGAGCTGAGTAATTATATGTGCATCACATACATCAGTCATGTATGTCGTGGGATGGATCTCCTGTGAAGTGCAGTTACAGAGAGTTGTGAGCTGCCATGTCAATGCTGGGAATTGAACCTGGGTACTCTGGAAGAGCAGTCAGTGCTCTTAACTACTCTCTCCAGCCCCTTCAAGACTTATTTTTATACATATTTTGCATGTACATATGAGCACTATATACATGACTGGTACCATTCTTTTAGAATCTGTTTTGTATTTGTGTATGATGGGGGAAAGTATAGTAATGGGCTCTCTTATCACAAGTTCCAGGGTCTGAATTTAGGTCAACGAAGTAGTTTTCTACTCTTGAACTATCTTGCCATGTTCACAGAAACTTTGTTTAACAAGCTTTTGTTTTTAAAACTGTCTTCATATACAATGGAGGTTTCATGAGAAAACCCTTGCTTTTTCTACTACTTTTCAAGTGCTACAGCAACATCTAACGCTCTATAGTAAATGTTTAATTCTTTTTGTGAGAGCCTCTCTGTAGTCATGGCTGTCCTGGGAGTCTATTAGGCTGGCCTTGAACTTACAGAGACCGACCTGCCTCTGCTTCTATCACATCCAGCCCTAAATGTTCAGTTCTTTATTGGAGCTCCTTTAGTTATATACAGGGTACATCAACTATTTCCAGGTCTTCTGTTGCCATGAGTGCATGTATATATATCACCCATGGAGGAAAAAGGAGGGGCAGGCAACTTGCCAGGGTACTTATATTGGGCAGTGATCAGCTGTTGTTCCTCAGCCAGTGACCCTCCCTGTGGGTCACAGAAGTGAAGATGCCTGACCACAGGCCTCACACAGTACGTAGAAACTGCTACTAGGGTAGGAAGTGGGTCAAAGCTAGTGGGAGCGGAAATCGTACATTGCCCAAAGGAACAGAGATTACGTTTAGGGGATTCTGATGGGAGTCTAAGATGCCATTCCTTCACAGCTGCTATAAATAAACTTCTAGAAACAACTTAATTACTTAAGTCTTGTGAATTTCTGGAAAATATAACAGACTTCAGTTTCCCTTAAGGTGCATTCCCAGATTCTCTCCAAGCTCACAGTACCTGGCACATTGTCTAACCAAAATAAAAGATCTATTCATGAAAAGTAAAGTTAATTCTTTTCAAATTCAACATATTAATAAGAAACAGTTGATACAGTATGTTGCTCAAAGAAAGGGAAGATGAGAAAAAAAGGAGCCAAGTTAATTTGCATCTGATATCCAAGCATTTTTATTTTATAATCATGTTGACTGTATAAAAACAAACCAATAATTTTCAAAACACATTTATTTATGAAATCATTTGAAGTTGATCTGCATAATTTCAACAAGAACTTTATTGTCTCTAGAAAAGTCTTATTTACACATCAAGGAACAAAGGTTTTTTTTTTTTTAATATAGATCTCAGCAGAACAATCCATCACGAAGTCCTAGCATTCTAAGAACACTCCAGCAAGGGAATCCAAAGGGAGCTGCCATCATTCTCAATCATATTCAGAGAATCGAATGTGCTGACTGGCTTGTTGAGTCTTGGCCAATCTAATCTTCTCAGCTTTGGTGATTAACTATGGAGAAAGAAGTAAGAAATTAGAGTGTCTCAGAAACTCCAAAATGAACAACAACAACAACAACAAAAAACAAAACAAACAAACAAAAAAGGTCCCTACTATGAAAGGCGATCAGGCTGAATGACAATTTTAAAAGCTTGGAGTAGAAAGACAAATGATATCATTATGTTTTGATCAAATAACCTACAGAGAACTGGAAGTTTTTATAAAATAGATCTTAAAATCTTTGAAACCTCTATTGATCTCTAATTACATTGCACAACTCAAAATCATACAACTGAAATGTCCGTCAGAGTCTGATACTGCATGCCTGTAGTCCCAGCACTCCAAAGGCAGAGGCAGTGGGATCTCTGTGGGTTCAAGGCCAGCATGAGCAACACAATGGGTCCCTTTCTCGGGAAAACAAATCAAAACAAACTGTTTACTGTGGGGGTAATTTCAAGCACAGGGACATGCATGGCAATTCTATACATTTATTTATTATTATTATTTTGTTTTATTGAGACAGGGTTTCTTCGTGAAGCCCTACCTGTCCTCAAATTCAAAGAATACTAGGATAAGAGGCATAAGACACCATACCAAGCTTATTCATTTATTTTTGATACCAAGTCTTTCCTTGTAGTTCTGTCTGGCCTGGAAGTCACTGTATGGACTGGGCTGGACTCTAACTGGAGACATTTATTTACCCTGAGTGCTTCTACTGCAGGTGTGCACACCACACCAGGCTTACTAGAATGGCCTTGAACTCACACGTGTTGGGAGTAAAGGTATGTATCACCACACTCAGCTCATGTTATAATTCTTTTGTGCCAATTACACTTACTAAAAAGTTTATCATTTGCTTTACAAATAAAAACTTAGGATTTCAAATAATGATTAAGACCTGCCTTTATCAAATAAAAAAGCACTATTACATAATATGTAAAATGATATATATCACACAGATTTTTCTTAAAGAAGGGAAAGGTTTTTTGAAACACAGAAGACAACAGACTGAAACATTCTCAAAGCAGCCGTGGCTCTCTGTCACTCAGGCTACATTAAAGGCACTCACTCTTCTGTCTCCTGAACAGTTGGGATGGCAGGTACTAACTATAACACCAGACAGTTCAAAAGCTTTAACAGGGGGAATGAATGTGTGTGTGCGCACACACAGTCTTATTTTTCTTTAAAAAATGTTGGCTCTACAGCTAGGGAAGTAGCTGAGTTTGGTAGAGTTCTTGGCTAGAACATACAAAGCCCCAGGTTTGATACCTAGACAGCACATACGCTTGGGTGGAAGGAACCAGCCTGCAATGCAACACTAGATGGTAAGGGCTGGTTCTCAACTACACAGTGAGCCTGAGGTAAGCAGGAGATACCAGAGACCTCGTCTAAATCAATCCATCCATGAATCAAATCTGGGAACATTGCTGACTGACAGAAGGGCATGACATGATTAAAACACTGTTCAGACAAGAGTACCCTAGGACACCAATGTGGATCACAAACAGCAATTCTGACTTCACCAGAAAACATGCAACAATATTTGCATTGAAATGGCCATTTTGATTAAAAACAAAGGCAGACATCTAAGAAACATGGGAGCTAAAGGCACTTGCTTCAAAGCATGATAACCAGAGTTGCATCCTTAGGATGCTCATGGCGGCAAAGGGAGAGAACTGATCCTAGCAAACTGTCCTTAAATACCAAAGATGTGGCACAGCACATCCACATGAAACTTCAAAATATAATTAAAAAATTACGGAATATTAAAACAACTGAAGCTTATTTTCAGGCTGGGGGTGGAAGAGCAGATCCCATGTTCCCAATCCGTTGTGAGTTCACTTATAAGTGCCTAATTTTCCTATTTAAACATCCATGCAGAGTAAATGTACCCTGTACTGACTTACTTTGTACTTTCAGTCCTGATAAACTGAACAGGGCGAGGTGAAAACTGACAACTCTAAGGAGATTAAGTTAGGTGCTTTTTCTCCCACTCAAGGTGCATCAGTATCTAGTGTGGAAATGATGAGCTGTCCTATCAGGAAGGAATCATGCCAGAATCACTGAAATTCTGCCATTGTTGTCTATATACTCAATTCCCATTCCTTTAGCCTTGAGTGCTGCACTTCTGAACTCTCGAGTGGATGTAAAAGCTACTTGGTTTAATTTCCTGTGCTACCCTGGTAATGTTTACAGATAAGTTAAGCAAGACCTTGCAGGAATGGGGGCTAATACATTCAGAGTATTAGCAAGCTCTCCAAGCAGTTCAGTGGTAGAGCATTTATTTAATCTCCAGCACCAGAAAACAACAAGGACAAGTTAGCTGTGGTTCATTTCTTCTATCAAGTTTTCAACACCATTTACTTTGTGTGGAAGCTCCACAACATTTCAATCCATAAAGCCAGCTGCCTTCAGCTGTTGCTACCTAGATCGTGCTAATAACCATGACAATGAAGCATGTGAGATCTGGAACATGAGTAATTTAAATTTTTGTTGTTCTAGTTTAATTTTATGAAATACCCGGGAAGTATTTCTATTACTGTGACTAAGATGATCTTGATAAATTTCTAAAATTAAAAGTAAAGGGTTATAATTACTAGATAAGGAAAGTATAGATTATTTTAACAAAACTTCACACTAGAATAATAAATTTTTATTTCTGACCTGATTACAGTTCATTTATCTGTTCTGGGTTACTGCCGTTAACATCTGATCATCTCAAACAAGCTTTGAAACCAAGACTCGAAAGCACCTTGAGAAAGGAGAGGGGTCCTTCCCCTCACAGCCAGATCAGGCTCCATTCAAGAAAAAAAATTCACAAAGAGCCATTCAAGCAAACGTCCCTGTCAATCATCATAAATGTCAAAGGAGCACCGAGGAAAAAAACACATCGCCAACAAACATATGACATCTGAATCAGGACTTTCAGAGTTCGTAACAGGTTGTTATAAACACTTTGACTGCAACAATATTTAAGAGAATAAGAATTTGTTGTCAAAGAATAAACACCATTCTTGGTGAGCAAAAAATTATACTAATTATCATAGAAAGACAATTGCTGAATGACAGTTTCTTAATTATTTCTGTTTGTGACACTTACTGATTATCAGGAAACATTTTAACAACAAAAGTTCTCATTGCCAGAGACATCAAGCCTCTCACTCCTTTCTGGACAAGACAATCTTGTACAGGCATTATCCCCAAATAACGGAACAGCAGCTCCAAATCAAGACTGTATAGATAACATTGATGACTGCTTCAAAGCACAGGAAAACTCTTAATTACAATTATGCATACAAAAAGAGCAAACGATCTTAATTTCATCTATTTTTGAAGGCAGGAGAAATCTGTATTCTTTCTCAGTCTGAAACAGTACTCTGATAGGAAAGCCAAAGTAAATTTATTCTCATTTATCACTGTCAGAAGATGCATTTAGTTGCTGCCCTTACCTTCTCTGTGCCTCTTTTCTTTTCCCGAGGTTGATTAAGTTTGGCCTGTCTATCTACCAAAATCTTCTGCCAGTACCGCTGCTCATGATCACCTTAAAAACAAACAAAAACTCTGACCACCAAGTATAAGGATATACATTCTAATCTCCCCAGCAGCAATGTTTGGGAAGAATGCTAGCTCCATTAGCCCAATGCAGAACAATTATCCATGATAATAACTGCTTATTAAAAAACTCAATTAGGTTTTACCAGAAAGGACCTCCAGGTTCCAACAGTGTTTCTTTCTAATTTCAGTCTGTGCATTCATTACTGCCTGAGCATCCTCAGGAGTTTTGAACCGGGCATGGCATTCAGTATCTCCTTCTAGCAAATCAACATAAACAACTTCTGAGACTGCAGCTAAAATATCCTACATGGGAAAGAAATACACTTAAAATCAACACCCAAGATATTTCACAATAATTGAATGTACACACAAAAGTTGTCAAATATATTTATCAATAAGGCACTCTGTTGTTGATGGGTAAATATATATATATATATATATATATATATATAAAACACTTCTAATGCTGTTAAAATTTGGGAGAAAATGAGAAGCAATTTAACAATTCATCACAAATTACTTTCCCTTCTCCTCTTGAAAGTCTATCCTTAAAACATGAACCTTAAAACACGAACTTACATTGGGATCAGCTAAGGGCAAGATTTATAAAGTGGAATACAAATGACCCCTCCCCCCACTAACATGGCCATAGGTTAGTACAAGAAAGATGAAAAGGACTTAGTTTATTTTCACTTACCTATATAATACCATGTTTGACATAGAACACATGGAATCATCTTTCAACATTTTATAATGGATCCTAGGGTTCTTGTGTAGGTCTACTGGCACACAGCTGATCGCTCTCAATTTTAGATAAAACACCTAAGTAACCCTTTCTAGGCAAGCTGAAGGACCCCACAAGGGGACAGTTTTTACCTATAGCACCCTGCTGTGAAGACTAATTAAGAAGATTCCTGCATTCTTAATCTACTTTACTCCCCCCTCACAGCAGGTTCTCTACAGAACACAATGCATTTATGCAGGAATGTTACAGTAATCTTAGTTGTCAAATTTCATTCATTAAAGCAAAAAAAAGAGGAAACTCTTAAGACCAGAAGTTTCTAGGCACAAAGAACTCAAATCATTGTAACTTAATGACTTTTAAGAGTCACAGAAAAAAGTTTAGGATCTGCAAATATTTCGTTGTAGAATAGTTTATTACTTAGCAGGAAAGGGTAGAGATTTTCAAGTTTTTAGAAGACAGAAACTAATATTAACTCAACCTTAACATACAATATAATGCAATAGAACACCCATAGTAAAAAATGTTTGGAGAGAATTATACCTGAGAAGTCTTCACGGTTTTTATCTAGTTAATCATATCAATTAGGCTACATAGCAAGAGATCAGTCTACAGTAAGTTGATGATTTTATAATGTATTCCTTGGTAGTGGTAAGAGTTTTATAATTTTTTTTTCAGGTAGTTTAGACTATCCCAGTTCAAAAGATACTTAGTATATATCCATTAGAAAGTTGGGCTAATCTTCTGTAAAATTCATATAATGACAAATCAGCCTGGAAATCAGTAACAAGAGTAGTGTACAAAGATTACAGAAAACAAACAAACAAATGAAATAACCAAAAGCCAAAAAAAAAAAAACCAAAAACAAAAAAACCCTCATTTTTTTTTCAATTAAAAAATTTGACTGGTACAGCTCTATAGAAAAAGGAAACAATATAATATATAATAATAAATGGTATGAGATGTTAAAAAGTAATTAGAAAGTTACAGAACAATTATAAAATAAATTGCTAGGCTAGGAAGTTGAAACAAGAGGATTGCAGGCCTGAGCAAAACAAAACAAAAAAAAAAAGAGTTAAGACAGCCTGTGCTACAACAAAAACCCTGTCCCAGAGAAACAAGAAGAAACAGTCATTTGGGAATGATGAATATAAATCTCTGAATACAGCAGCTGGCTAAAAAACAAAATAGGAGCATGTGGTTACAACTCTCAAGTAAGCAGCTCTGAACGAGTACGTTATAAAATTCCTTTTAAAAAAATCAATGACAGCAAATACCATTTTAAAAATTCTTAGACTTGAAAAACCTCTTTTAAAGCATAATACTGAACATATTGTTTCAAAAATTGCAATTTCCAATCACTGCAACTGTTCTCTCCTGAGCTACAGAGAACCAAGCCATCAGTGGAGTTCAGACTGTCCCATGTACATCTCACTTCCTCCAGAGTTTGCATTTAGATTAAGTCACCATGGACTCAAACTCTGTGCGTGCTTTATAGAGGTAAAATTCTAACAGGTCTTGTTTTGTTTTCACACAGGCATCGTGAACATTACCCTGACTTGTTTCCTGCCAGGTAGAGGCTCTGTGCTCGTGATCTTCACAATAACTCCGTTCACGAACTGTGGGCCTTGGGCATTGACCTTCTCCTGGGTGCAGCACTCTGGATGGCTGACTGAGAAAAGGAAAAGACCACAGATAAAACTTTCCCAATTCCCACCTTTAACACAAGGAGAGATACTCTACAAGAGCAGGAGTGATTTCTCACACTACTTTAAAGAACTTGTGCAATGTTAATATTAATGCATCAAACTGCTCATTTGGAAATTAACAGGAAACAAGACGCATTACTGCTCTGAACCAATGAATAAAATTCAAATAAAGATGTCAATACAAACATAAGGATACTATTCAAATGTGAGAATTTGTATAATTTCACAGAACTTAAAACCTTTACTAGGGGAGTAGGGAGGAGGAACTGCAAAAGCAGGGAGAAGGGGAGAGGCTATGGCTGGGATGTAAAGTACGTGAATTACAGTAAGTAAAAATATTTACAACAAAAAAAAAAAAAAAACAACACTTTTACTGATGTTACAATCAATAATAAATCTTTAAAGTTCCTGTTCCGGGTTCATCTTCCACTAAAACTGCAGCCTTTATTGCTATGCCCAGTCATTCATGAGCAAACTTGCTGGTAATGGAGAGTAAGCAGGTTCTTAAAAAGTTCAATATAAACACTTCAATTTTTTTTCAGGCAATGGTTCAATTGAAAACTGGGAAAACCCTCCATCACTCCAATACAATGCCTACACCCAGGGTTCACTGTAACACTAAATACTATGAAAGTGAGCCTCACCATTTCCATTCTTTACTCCAGACTTGCTAGGCACTGTACTGTCTGCTTCCATTTCTGACTCCAATTTTATTTGAGATATTGTTTTTTTTAGAGAAGCCATACTGGCTTTTTGCAGTGCCAAATACTCTTTTTTCAAATCCATCCATTCAGTCCTGTAAAACAAAAAATTGAACTACTGAAATAGTGACAAGATGACTCACTGAGAAATCTAAAGGTGAACTAAATATACATTCGTAAAAATTCCCATTTCTTTTAATGAGTTTTCCCATTTTAATTAGTTTTCCCATTTCTTTCAATTAGTTTTCAGGCTGTAAATCTATCTATCAAACAAACAAATGAAGTTCCTTTTCACTAATATTCAGGTAAAATGCTTTAATTTCCCAGTTAAGTTCCTGATGTGTTTCTAATATTTTTAATTGTAAAAGTAAAATAAGGCAACTTTGGGTAAAAGTGAGAGGCTAAAATTCAAAGATTTGTTAAATTGCTTCTAATTTGAGAGATAACATTCCTTAGGATTTACTTGAATCAAAAGAATTTCTAAGAAGAAAAAAACACCCCATGGAAGCAATTTATTTATTTACATACATTTACCATGTAGATGTGTCTTCAAACAGCTGGGACTCCTCCAGAGAGAAGCACAATGCTCCTCCTGGCCCAGTGGGAGTGCTCATTGTTACCCTAATCTGTGCCATCAAACAAGCAGATAGGAGATTTTTTTTTTTTTTTTTTAAAGAGAAGGTATCTTGTGGTAATGGTTTTAGCAGTTAACATTGACATCTGTTTACTTCAAAAAAAAAAAAAAAAAAAAAAAAAAAAAATCCAGACCTACCCAGGATCCCCAGGATCTACTTTCCCTGAGCTGACTGCTGATACATTAAAATAACAAAGGCTCTTGTAATGATTCTCTGAGATAAAACACCAAAAGGAATTCAGGAGTTAGGAGTAGTATAAATACAAGTGGTCTAAAGTCACTGTCTTTCACCCTCCAAGCAGAGAAGGACATTCTTTGGATCCCGTTCACAGAGGTAAAAACGTGTCATTTCATTTTCTTCTTGGATTGCCTATCTTTTTTGAGAAGTCACCTTGCGGGTGGATTCCCTTCAACTTTAACATGGGAGTGCTTTCTGTCTCTCTGTGAAGAGTAAGTGCTTCCAAGTTTTAGTAGAAGTGGATTCAATGCACACTTTTGGAGTGGAAAAAGCTAAGCCCTTGAGAGTCTGAAAGAGTTCCCTCTGCTTTAACATGGGGATACCTGCTGTGTAAATGAAAGTAAGTGCTTCCATGTTTCAGTGGAGGTGTCTCAACCCATTCAGCATTTCCTTAATTTACAGGTGAAGGAGGAGAGCTTCGTAAATGTAAACACAGGGCTCCCCATTACTTAAACGTGGATGTACTTGCTTTGGAATTAAGGAAGTAAGTGCTCCCATGTTTTGGTGATGGCAAGCTTTCCTTTTCCCCGGGGCCTTTGAGGGGACTTCACTGACTGCTGCTTAAGGAGCCTCCTTTACTTTAACATGGAGGCACTTGCTGTGACTTTATAAAGTAAGTGCTTTTATGTTTGAGTGTGGGGGCTCCTACTTAATCTGCACTTCCTGCCCTGCCTGCGAATGGACCGTAGGCCATCACTGTTGCTAACATGCAACTCTGTTCAATAGCAATTGGAATTGCACTTTAGCAATGGTGATGGAGCTCTGTCAGCTGCTGCTGAGTGGGTACTTACTTGGACAAGACTCTCAATGGTATGACCTCTTCTCCCATTTTATGTCTCTCCTTGTGTTTTTTCTTGTGCTTCCTTTTCACTTTTAGGTGCGAGTCGCCTTTTCCATCTCCCGTCTCTTTCTCCTCTTCTGTAGAGCAGAACTCTAAGTCTAGAAAAGAGATTCCCGTAAGACAAGTTGTGGTTTGAAGTACCTAAAATGTTTGCACCATCTTAATAAGCGCGCGGCACCTCTGCTTTCCTTGGAGGCTTCAGAAGCAGGCTCGCCAATGCCGTCTTTGTGAGCCCTCTTCTTTTTTGGCCTGGGGGCCTGAGAGTCCTCATCCTCTGCGCTGCTTCTCTCCCTTTTCCCTGTCCTAACTTCAGGGAGGACAGACGGGTCAGCCTTTTCCCGTTTTTTCTTTTTCTTTGCAGGTTGCTTTGGAGCTTCAGGAGTTTCTGCTTCAGAGCCCTCAGAGGCAGTCCTTGGTCTCTTAGCTTGACATGCCCCCATGCTGCTCGTGTCCTCCATATTTAACTCTTTTGCCTGCATACTGTCTTCCTTCTTTATTCTCCCCTTTTTCTTTTTCTTCTTTTTCTTCTCTTCTGTAACAGCAACAGTGTGGGAATGATTTTGTTTTTTCCTCTAAGTTAATATTCTTTAATATTATTCTTAGGTACTCACCAGCTACTCTTAAGGAAGGGATGGGTTTGTTTTTCACTGTCTTAGGGAATATGCCAGGTTTTCTTGGTGCTTCTTCGGGCGGGTTATTAAGAAACTGAAATGAAAATTAGAAAAAAATCATGGCAAAATTACTCGTACTAATATGCTTTTTTTTTTAAATTTCCAGGGTCACACTGACGTACCTCGATGGCTTTTGCTGCTTGCTCTTTTGTTTCAAACTCCACAAAGGCAAATCCCTTAGGATCCCCAGTAGACTTGTAATGTGGAATACTTATGTAAACCACGTTGCCACATTTCCCAAATACTCTTTCAATCCAGCTGTGAGTAACATTTTTGGGAAGTAACTCCTGTATGAAGTGGCATGACAGTTTTTAAGCACAAACGACATTTTATCAATAAATGGAAACTAGAATTTAAGTGTTTTTCTTACCACATACACGGTGCGTTCCTCTTCATCCTTTGGTCTCTCTCCTAGGGGCTTTTTTCTCCGGATTCTGGTCCCTTCCAAGTCCAACTTGATAAAGAGGAGGTTTAAAGAGGTTTAAAATACAGTTTTTTTTGTACAGTTTCAATTTTGTCATTAATTTGTAGATTTACCTCTACAACAGATGAGCTTTTCAATGCTCTGGCTATTAGCTTCCCATCTGTGGTCAACTTCTTCATTTTGTTGAAAGACACCAGAAGAGAGATGTCCACATCTAGTTGCAAAATATATAACACATGTTAGCTTTTTGTTGAGCTTGTTATGATGAACCCATAAACCTGATCCCTGCAGTGATTTTTGCCTGATAAGAACTGGGAGTTATTTTAGAAGGAGCAAACTTACATCCATCTCTAGATTTTTCAATTTGCTCTCGGAGAAACCTGTCCTTGTGAAGGTTTGCATCCCCAAACCAGAAGTCCACTTGCTTGGCAATATCTGCAAGCACCTGTTTAACCCTCGAACGCTTCTTTTTTTCTTCTTTTCTCTTCTCAGTGCTTTCATCCATAGATTTTTGATTTTCAGTTTCCATTCTGTAAAAAGTATGTATAATTAGCACCTACTCATCTGGAGGACAGCAATATAAAATGCCTATGGCAAAGTTGATGTGATGCATTGAGCGTATTATTTATTACACTTTTACAAGTCACATGTGTATGCTCTGTCGCCTGAGCCTTCCTGATGACAGGCTATCCAAGCTATCCCCCCCCCCCTCAATTCGGCTGCTTTAAGAGCAGTGGCTGTCCTCCCAGAGCACCAGCACTCACCTGTCTACAGTTCATGGCATCTGATATCTTCATGGATATAAAGTTAGCAAGCTTGTAAGAATATTGTATTATGCTGGCCTGGCAGAATGCATTCAGGAGCACCCTGGTCTGGTCAGCAGGCAGGTGTCAAGAAAAGACCCTGCTCACTTATATGCTCTCCCCCTCCAACTGTTTCCTGTGACAGACTTCCTGTCTCCCTCTTCTTTCTCCTTACCTACCCTTCCCATTTATCGTAACAAAGTTCTTTATGCATCTCACTCAAATCTGAAAAGCTGGTCAGCCAAGTACCAATTTTGAAAGTATAAAAGTAAAAACATCTACCGACTTCTGAATATACAAAATGAGACTAGGTATACATCAAGACTGATTGATAGCTGGCAAAACAGTGAGGTGAATACTGTGGAGCCAGAGGCCTGGAAGCCTAATAGATTTAACTCCCATTCTGGTGGGGCTTTAACAACAGAGCTAATGTTAGCTGAGACAGGGTTTCTCTCACCCGCCAGCAGCTCCTACAGTGAGAAATGCCTGCCTCATAAACACTTGCTATATACGTTTTAAAGTGTTTCCCGTCTGGTTTCTTCTACTGTGTTTTATCCTCATATGGGGTCTATGACTAGACTCTTATCTTGGCTTCCGTTCTTGACCCATCCTTTCTGGAGGGGAGGGTTTCTGGCCTCACGAAACACACTAGTCATTAGTTCCACATTCCAACAGTCAACTGTACTTGACATCTCCATTAGTTCATTTAGAGGAGATCATAAACTGAACATAATAAAAGCAGAATTCTAAAATTTTACCAGATTTTTACCACATTGAAAAATAGCAATTACAAGACAGAGAGTAAGATCAGAAAGTAGTCTCAATTCTTCCTAATGTGCACTGCTGTACTAGCACTGCCTTTAAAATATGTCCTGAACATTAATACTTCTCATTCTATTAATTAAATCATGTCTCATATGAGATAGCCAAGATCTTCCTTAATAGTCTACTTGCTTCTACTATTGTTTTCTTTCTTTTTAAAAAAGATTCACTTATTTATTATGAATACAGTGTTTTGCCTGTATATATGACTGCATATCAGGAGAAGGCACCAGATCTCATTACAGATGGTTGTGAGCCACCGTGTGGTTGCTGAGAATTGATCTCAGAAACTCTGGAAGAGAAAGCAGTGCTCTTAAGGGCTGAGCCATCTCTCAAAGTCACCCTACTCCTGCTTTCTTATAATCAAATTTTTGTACAAGATAATTACTTAAATATGTAAACCAGGACAATTCTTTGTATAAACACTCCCAAAGACAGCACATTCAGCATAGAGTCCAAAGACCTTAAAATGGTTTACTAGATCCTATTTAATCTGACCTGGACATACTTCGCCAATGTTACCTTCCACAACTCTTTTCAGCAGACTTATATCATCCCTAAGTTCCTTTAATATGTTAAAGCCATTTCCATCTTCAGGCTGTTTCCATCTTTCTGCTGTTTCTTTTCCAAATACATCTGTATAGTGTAATATTCACCCAGATCTGTGAATGGCACTGTCTCAGAGAGGGTTTTCTTTCATCCAACATAAAATAGTCCCCTTGATGACAATCTGTACTATATTTAAACATTTCTTTCTATGCTCATCATCCTCTGGGATTAACAGTTTTGTTATCTATCATCTCCACTATAACTATATAGAGGCAAAAGCTTCAATCTGGTTACTACATATTTGTGAAGTAGTTAGATTTATTTAAAAGTACCAGGAGGTGGGCATGATGGAATACACCTAAATCCCAGCCAGCACTCAAGAGGTACTGGCAGTGAACCTTTGAATTTGAAGCCAGTCTGTTCTATAAAATGAAAATAAGGTATTAAGCATTTCAGATTCTTTTCAAAGGTGGTAAAATATAAATATAAATATAGAGTATAATGATTACATTGCGGGCTCTACTATTATGTGTTAATTATAAAGGCAGACTTCACATTCTACAGTTCTTTTCCATTAAAGCCCACTATCTATAAAGCAGTGATTACCTGTGGGTCAAGACCCCTTCTGGGTCAGATACTTACATTATAGTAGCAAAATTGCAGTTATGACATAGCAACAGGATAACTTTATGGTTTGGGTCACTATAACATGAGGAACTGTACTGAAGGGTCATAGCATTAGGAAGGTTGAGAACTAATCTAAGTAAGGCATAATGGAATCTATAGCTACACTACTCTACAGCCACTAGTTCTAAAGCAAAGCAGACAGAACAGTAAAAACATAGAATGTCACAGCTACCTTTCTGTTTCTCTTAAGGGTTACTTTGTAACCTAGCATATTTCAGTTCAGAATGATCAAATGCACCTTCAATTTGGAACAAGATACAGATTAAACACAAAACAAACTAGAGAACAATTTAGCCTCCTTACATCAGGTCTGAAGAAAACCAGTTAGTAACAAGGCAATACCTAGGATACAGAGCCCCCACATCTTTACTCCCTTATGCCTGTCTTTCTCCCTGATGCTGACAGTCTTCCTCGTCCCAGGCCCATATCCTACCACTTAACTATTCCTCAGTCCTTGCTACACTCCTAATGCTTTATGTACTTTCCCAAGGGCCTATGGTAATAACATTGAAAAAGAAATGTATCCTTTCCTTCCAAAGCCTATTTACCCTCGGTAATGCTAACACTATAACTCACAAAGCAAGCTCTGTATGTGTTTGGAGCAAATTTCTTATCTCTGTGATCCATAGAATGTGGATATAATCTATCTATATAATAGAGTTACTGTTAATATCAAGAAAATGTAATTTAGGCACTTAAAATGCTGACATGGAGAGGTCTGCAAGAGATGGCATAGTGAGTGGTTAAGAACACTCATTGCTCATGAGGACCAAGGTTCAATTTCTAGCACTGACATCAAAGCTCACAACCTTGGGGCTGGAGAGATGGCTCAGTAGTCAAGAGCACACTGACTGCTCTTCCAGAGGACCTGGGTTCAAGTCCCAGGATCCACATGGCAGCTCACAACTGTCTGTAACTTCATGATCTGACAACCTCACACAGACAAACATTCAGGCAAAACACCAATGGGATATATATATATATATATATATATATATATATATATATGAAAAAAAGAGCTTACAATCTCCTATAACTCTAGTTCTAGGGTATCCAAAGCATTCGTCTGACCTTTACATTCAGACACACAATATACATAAATTTAAAAAAAGATTCTCAAATCAAAATGAAAACAGTTGCTTTGGAGAACACAACATGTGGTCATGTTATTCTTTACCAATTGGTCACTAAATCTTACCAATTTGATTTTTTGAAATGGCCCTCATGCAAATTTAGTGTTTTGCACAATTGCCATTAGAATATGAGTTTATAACATGCTCTAAAAGTCATCTATGCTACAGAGATCTGTGTGTAACCTGTTCATAATATTGATATGGTTTGTGAAAGTTATTTCTAAGCTTGCAACATTAGTAATTCCTCATTAGTTTTCTGTGGTGTCATAAGTATTAAAATATTGTTAAATGGGTGTGGTGACACACAACTTAAACGGTAGCACTCAGGAGGCAGAGGTAGGCAGATGAGAGAGTTCTAGTACAACCCTAACCCTGTGTTGAACTCCCCCCCCCCCATGGTCTTGAAACAAAGAATAAAAAAATTGTACAACAATGCCAGTTACTTTATATACATTGATCTAAATCTTGGCAATCCATCTAAAAGGTTGTGTATCTTAGTCAAAACTAGCTAGGTAAGCAAGCATTGATGACCGACTTTTACACTGCCTTTTAGAAGTTTTTACAGCCTGTCACTATTCATATTATATCCTGGCCCAGGAATTCTTACTCTGAAGTCTATGATGCTACAGGTGAGTTTCAAGAAATGCTAAGAATCAATGAGATGGTTAGAAGTTAAATTTAAAAGGTAAAAACTATGCTTGTACAAGTACAAAATGAGTATGGCAAAATTAAGTGCTACATATCCACTTAAATGAGCAATGACCAGATCAATATGTAGCAGAAAGTTGAAATGAATGTTAACAAGACACAGGGCAGTAACTAATTACACCCTCCTCCGGCAAACATGATTTCCTTTTTTATGCTCTTCTACAAGTTACAAAGTTGTAACATTGTTCAAAAACAGTGGATGCCATAGATAATCTGGAGGCAGACTTTATTAGGTATAAAGTAATCTTTTTTTTTTTTTCAGTTTAAAGTCACAGCTTTTGCTGTTAAAATCATACGCAAAATGGGTACATGTAAAATTTCCAAAGAAAGGTGGCCATGACATTTTTCAGGTTATGAACAAAACGAAGTGTACCCAAAAGATTGAGAACGAAAGTTATAGTCATGGCAAGACTATTCAAAGGTAGCAAAAAACAATTCGTGGGCTGGATCTTTGCTCCGAGTGACCCTTCTAGTGTAAATATGCTTTATGAAAACATTCGATTTCCCACTACCGCCCGGTTTCGAAGGACTACTAAAGGTAGCATTCTTGAGGAATTCCAGTCTCAGTGAACTGTCCGCTCATATTTCCCCTTAGGCCCTCATAAACTCACTCGGAGCTTTTATTCACAGTTTATTGTTAGCTCCTTCTTAATACGTACTTTCTACAGGAGGCTAAAAGGACGAAGGTCTTGCAAAAGAAAAGCCTTAAGTTTAGAACGCGAGTGCTCACAACTGCTGTCCTTTGGAAACCGATGCTCAAGCACAACCTGCGGAGCGGCCATGGCTCCACTACGGGACTACATAGACTTCCGCCCCGACACCCCCAGGAGCCGGGCGTGCCCCAAACCTCCCAATACTGAGCTCGGCCCGCCCCCTCCGCTTGAACACTGGAACTGCAAGCGCCGCCAGAGGATTGCGCGTGCGCACGGAGTAGCCAACCCAACGGACTAGTGGTGAGGGGGGCGGGGTGGGCCGGACCACGGATGACCCGAGGGGACCGGACTCAGGAGTTCACACTTCACCGGGTCTGAGCGGCTCTCCAGGGCACCTGTGACTTACTCCGGTCACGTCCGCAAATCCACGGGCAGCGACTGCGTTCTTCCACGCTTTCTGTCTCCCGCTCCTCCGAGTCGGCCTAAATTTGCGTCATCCGACGAGCGACGCGCTTCTCTCGGTCCGCTGTGGAAGGGTCGCTCGGAGAGGAGCCGCGTCGTGACGTCATAGGCAACGCCCCCGAGGGGGCGGGGTCTTGGGGAGTAAGGCGGTGACCGTCCTTCGAGGAGGAATTCCATTGGTGGGTTGCGAACGGCGGCGGCGGCGGCGGGGGCGTGGCTCAGCGCCGCCGTCCCTGGTTGATGGCGTCACGGCAGCTCGCGGGAGAAATTCGAAAGTGGGATTTGTGTCACTGAGGAGAAGGGACGACTTTCTTAAAGGGAGTGAAGGGAGGATAGACCCGGCGACTTGGCACGGCGGGGAGAGCATGGACACCGAGTCGCCTCCACGGAAGCCGCCCTCGGGGCGCCGTTAGAAAGCTGGGTGAGGCGGTCACCGTCGAGCCCCTTCCCGGTCGTGGTTGGTTTGGAGGCTGACGTAGGACCGGGGCTCCTTTGATTAGTCAGAATTCGGCAAGTGAAAGTAATGATTTCTATTCGTTATTTGCACTGGTGGTTTGGGCGGTGCTGGGGAGAGACCCTAGCACTTTGTGCTAGCTTGGTGAATGCTCTTGTCACCGAGCTACCACTGTGGCAGCTTTTCTCATAAAGCAAGGCTTCCTGCTCTCAGCTAACGGAAGAAAGGCTGTACATACACACCCGGTTACTGATGACTCCCGCCTCAGCGCGCATACTGATTCCGGTTTGGGAGGCACCATCACTGCAGAGAGCTTGTGAGCCGATTGCTGAGCTCCAGAACCGGACCTAAAACGTTCATTACGAATTCTGGTGTAGTGATCAGGTCATGTCCACGGAACGTCTTGAAGAGCTGTATACTCACTTGTGTGCTTCTCTGGCACCTGTATTTAGTTCCTTATCGATGATTTCAGTTAACAGTAGCTGCTGCAACACTGTTCAGAAGATTTTTCTTCCTGGGTGTGGTGACACGTTGTCTGTAATGTCCCCAGAGTACCACAGCCCAAGAAAGGAGGATTGTGCAACTTGGTCAAATCCTGTTTCAAACAAAAGGCCTGGGCATGTGGAAGCATTATTGATTGGCTGACCTAGGGCTCTGTTATCAGACCGTAGAACTGGAGAAAGGAAGGAAAGGAAGGAAGGAAGAAAGAAAGAAATAGGGGTTTCCTTGCAGAGGTGCTATATAATGCATATTTGGTCCTTTGGTGGTGTGTTACATTGACTAAGGTGTGTAGTCAGTATTCTAACTGGATTCAGCCAGCTGTAAATTGGAGATACTGAGAAAAAAAAAATGTCAATGCTGAACATGCAGAGTTTTTGTTATAATTTCCTTCACCCCCCTTCCCATTTATTTATTTATTCTTTAGACGGGGTCTTTCTTATCTATGTAATGCTAGCTGTCCTAGAGCTAGCTGTCTGTGTAGACCAGGCTGGCCTTGAACTCCACCTTGAACCCACTTGACTCTGATACCCTTGCACTGGAATCAATGTTGTGTGCCAGCTGGGCCGGTGGTGATGCAGGAGGATCTCTGGGTTCTAGGCCAACCTGGTCTGAAAAGCTGTTTCTAGGACAACAGAGGCTACACAGGGAAACCCTGCCTTAAAAAACAAAACAACAACAAAAACCAACAAAATAAATAAAAGCCTAAAAAAGTATATAAACAAAAAGGTGTGTGCCATCAAACCTGCTTGCTTGCTTGACTTTTTATCCTTCTTTTCCTCACTCTTTCACTTTTTCTTTCTTTTCTTTTCTTTCTTTTTTTTTTTTTTTTTTTTTTTTTTTTTGAGACAGGGTTTCTCTGTGTAACAGTCCTGACTGTCCTGGAACTCACTATGTAGACCAGGCTGGAGCCAAACTCACAGAGATTCGACTGCCTCTTTCTCCTGAGTGCTGGGATTAAAGGCATGAGCTACCACCACTGCCACCTGGCTTCATCACTATTTGCATATTGATTACAGTGCATTAGGTATAATCTAGAGATGATTTCATGTATGCTGGAGAATGTGCACATACTCATATGTAAAAAACTATGACATTTTATATATGAATTCAAGTGGCTCCAAATGTTGGTATTTGTGGCCCTGAAACCAGTCCCTGGATACTGGATACTAAGGAACTACTTTAACAGGAAAAATTTAACACACAAGGGGGCCATGTTGCGGTAAGAGTAATGCTTTAGGTAAACAATTGAATTTGGGTTCTAAGGAGCAAAACATCTTGAAGGAAAAAAAATCCAGTTTCTGACACATTTTAAGGCATCTAGAGAGATGTTTACAGATTATTAGTAAGTTTAGGAATTTTACTTAGGTTTATCTTTATTTTACATTATATAGTATCACTCAGTTATGTCCTCCATGACAGCTAAACTTTTGTTTTGTCTTGGTGGCTAGATAGATCGATAGTCTTGCAATTCTTTGGTTTCTGACTCTAATCAAGATTTATTGAGAAATTTTGTGTTTGATATTTGTCCTTTTTTATCTGGGTTGATTGACCATTCTTTGCTGTTTTTCATTTTAGAAGATATAAATTGTTAAATAAAAATTGATTATTTTCTGGACCTGACTGGTTTATAATTTCAGAAGAAACAATGGAAAGTCAAGAATTTATTGTAAGTCTTAATTTCCTTTTTGTGAGGAGAGGGGTGGGAGACGGGATCCCAGGCTGGCTGTAAATCTTGATGAAGTTCAGGATCACCTAGAATTTGTGATCCTCATGTCTTTTTCTCCCAAGTCCTAGGATTCAGGTGTGTGTCATCATATCCTATGTGTGCAGTGCTGGGTATTAGAGCAGTCCCCTGCATATTGGGCAAACACTATTAACTAATTGGCCTACACCCTAAGCCCATAAATTTTGTTTTCCTTCCTTACCTCCTTCTTCTCTCATTTCTTCCTTTCTCTCTCAAATGTCTTGTTAGCTTTACCAGAGTCAGCAGAACAAAAAGAAGCAGCAGGCTATAATGTTAAGTTCGAGTCTCAGATAAACAGGGAGTGGTTTTCTAGTATAAACAAGTTTCAAATATCATACTATAGTTTATCTGGCAAGCCTATGTTATCTGCTTCTTAGTAGTAGTATATACTATGCAAGTCATTTTTAAAAACTTATTTGGAAGCTTGGGCCCAGGAAACATTTTTTACTTTTAAGACCTGTCAGTACTGACATTCCTGTCTATAGTGACATATTATTTGGTCTTAAAACCTTCTTGGATTCAAAAACAATATCAGAGACACAAAATAACTTTTGTATGTTGAGCTTCTTTCTATAATATTACTTATGTTAAACACAGAAACAGTTTAAAAGTACTCACTTAAAAGCAACTAATATGTGACCTTTTAATGTAAGTTACATTTTTAATTATAAGTAACTAAATTTTCCAAAGAAATAACTACACTAGGAGAAAGCATTTATAAGAGTAACATTGTTAGATATTTTTCTAAGATTAGTAATGTCTGTGTGTATACACATGTATATATGTACATGTGTGTGCCATCCTTAGAAACACCATCCATGTCCTATGAGACAGGGCCTCTTATTGGCTTGGAGCTTATCAATTAGGTTAGATTGGCTGGGATCCTACATGTCCTAGAAAGCCTAGATGCCTAGAAAGCATCACCATTTTTAGCATTTTGTGTGAATTCTGGGGTTTAATGTCAGGTACTCAGGCTTACAAGATAAACACCTTTCAGGTGAGCTATGTCCCCAACCCCCTGAAATACTTGTTCCTGTATTTGATCTGTAATTGAATCTGGCACGACATATAATGCTTGCAAACTCCATTCTTCCACTGAATGGAGGGTCTAAATACAAAAGCAATGTGAAATTTTTCTGACCTCAGATGCTGTGAAGGTTGGTAGACTGTCTACAGTTTTTGGACTGTATTCTGAGAGCTATGTGAATAATGTGACCCAATAGTTGTTTTTTCTTCCTCCTGATGATGGGGCAGTTTAATTTTGATACTCAGTTAACTAAAAAACTCTTTAGGCTTTTACTTTCCCTTTCTTCCTTTGCCTTTTGGTACTACCCAGCTAGTCAGCTGTCTTACTTTCCTTAAAATTGTTTGTTTCTTTTTTTTATGCTGGGGATTAAACTCAGGGCCTCATGATGCTAAGTATGCACTCCATCATTGAGTTATCCCTCCAGACTCTTGATACTGAATTGTGATACCTGTGTTATTACTTTGATATGGGATGTTTTATTTTGTATGGCCTATAAACTATACAATAATAAATAAGAAAATAGCAATGATTTCTTCTGTACTTTTGGAAATAAGGTCCTATATACTCATCAAAAGATGAAGAAGTCAAAAGTGTGGCAAGATGGAGTTCTGAAGGTCACTCACTTAGGTAACAAGGTAAGTGCCAAGCAGCTGGCTGTGGTGTGTCACAGCTGTGTTCTTGCCTTCTGATTGAGCATTAGGATAACGCTGTTGATAGTTAAGATGCTAGGAATAGCCACATACTGCCATGATGTGAAAAAGAAACTTTGAGATAATTTATGTACATTATGAAAGTTCAGTAAGTAAATATTATTCAATCTGTTTTTAGTAAAAAGGCTTATTATGAGCTGGTCATAAAGCTCTCAGCCTATCAGTTTAGTTTGCACAGCTCTCCTACAAGCTAGGCATTTAGTCTTTATTTTAACTGATGATAAAACTGAGGGGCACAGTCACATCTTACCCAGGAGTCCCAGCTGGAAGTGTAAGAGCCATTCATGAATTTAGACTCAGCCTGTTTTCTGGATAAGTCTTGCCCCACCACCCTCACAAACAGGGTTTCTCCTGGCTGTCCTGGAACTTGCTCTGTTTACCAGACTGGCCTCAAACTCAGAGATGCCACTGGCTCTGCCACCTGAGTGCTGGAATTAAAGGCTTGTGCCACCACAACCCTGCTCTGGCTGATGATGTTTTCATAGTAATCAAAGTTTGATTGTGAGTTGGTGATATCATGTGCATACTACTGACAGTCATGGTCTCCTGATCAAACCTGTAGTCTTAAGTGACGCTGTTAAGGCTCTTCACATTCTGTCTTTAGTCTACTCTGTCATTGTAAAGCAGTGATGCTGTTAAGGCTCTTCACATTCTGTCTTTAGTCTACTTCTCTGTCATTGTAAAGCAGTGGTTCTCACCCTTCCTAATGCTTGATTCTTGTGCCTGAGTCCTTGAATTTCTTTCTCTGTACCTCAGCGCTCATGCTCAGTGGATGCAATAACATTTGAAATAGATGTTACAGAATGTATATAATTCTTTTATTACATGATTTACTTATGTGACATTTGAAGATTCTAAGGAATGCAAAAGAAAAATGTATAATTTTTGTTTTGTTTTATAACAGGCGATTTTATATGACGACAAAGGAGCATGTTTGGAAAGTCTTTTTCTTAAGAGCCTTGAGGTATCTTAATGTGTTTACCTTCCCTTGAAATTTAAAAATTTTCTTAGATACTTGTTTATGAATATTGTTAATGGCTTAGTTATAGTACTGATGCTGATAACTAAAGCCTGTATTGTTGTTCATTTAGTATAGTTGTACCTTGTGATAACAGCTTTTAGTTATTATTTCATTTTAATTTTTGTGACAATGTTATGATGTGTTTATATTACAAATACGGCACAGAAAGGTTTAGTAGCATATTTATGCTCATGGAATGGTGGGTATAGTACATATTCAAAACCAGGATGTAACTCTAGAATTAGCTTCTATTAGGGGATGGAACCAAAGGCTTCATGTATGGGAGGCGTGTATTCTACCCCTGTGCTGTCTTTAACCTCCACATGGTGGTTGATAGTCTTTGAAATTGTTCCCACTTAAATATTTTCTCAAAAAAAAAATTATATACACATATTCTGTGTTTTTCTTGTGTTTGAAGAAGGAAAGGAATTGAAAGCATTAAAACTGCTCTGGGTTCCTTTCAGACTCTGAAACACCACCTACACAGTCCATGATCTGTGCCTACTCACTCCTCAACGAGAAGCATAGATCAGAATTGTTCTCAAGATTAGAAATTACTTCATATAATGTCAGGTGTTAAAATTCCTATCATTACCATATGTGTGGATATTCAACCATGAAATCTTGTATCATTAATAGTGGTTGTTCTTAGCTGGGCAGTAGTGGTGCATGCCTTTAATTCCAGCAGGAGGCAGAGACAAGCTGATCTCTTTGAGTTTGAGGCTAGCCTGGACTTCAGAGTAAGTTCCAGGACAGCCTCCATAGCTACAGAGAAACCCTGTCTTGAACCCCTCCTCCCCCCAAATTAGTGAAAAGAAGGTCATAGGGAGACATTTTATTAGTAGGTGCTTAATTATTGCAACTACTGTTATTTTATCCTAGGTAGTTTCATTACTAAATTTTTTTTTTTTTAAAGGTAGGTTATTTGTTATGTATAAAGCATTCTGCCTGCATGTATGCCTGCAGGCCAGAAGAGGGCACCAGATCTCGTTACAGATGGTTGTGAGCCACCATGCGGTTGCTGAGAATTGAACTCAGGACCCCTGGAAGAGCAGCCAGAGCTCTTAACCTCTGAGCCATCTCTCCAGCACCATTACTAAATATTTAATGAGATAAAGATATATTTTCTAAGTTGATAATCTTAGTGTTTTACTCTAGAGTTGGTGACAAATTAATAAAATGACTAAAAAATATCCTTTTTCAGGGAAAGTGATTCTGTGTGTAACTAACCTTAGCAATATTTTGATAATTATGAAATTCTAATTCACATACATTGTAAGGATACAGAATTGATAACTGATGGCTTTGACTTTTTAAAATATTACATTTATGGATTCTGAGTGAATTATGTGAAAGGAAGCTCGCTGCTTGTTTTGGTGTCCTTAGCATGTGACACAGGACCTCCTCAACTCCACAGAATGTGGTCCTGGACAGCAGATTAGTGATGTTTTTATCACAGTATTAACATTTTTTTTATGCTTTTGATGGTAAATTTGTGTATAATAATGAATAGTTGAAGGATTTAGTTACTGACTGATTTCTTTGGCAACTTTGAATATTTGTTGGATCTTGTTCATTCCTATTGAGGCAGCTGGTATATATGGAAAATAAAATGACCTGAATGCAATTTTGATGTTTATTCTTTAAAATGTAGGTGAAACCGGGCGATGACTTGGAAAGTGAGCGGTACTTAATCACAGTTGAGGAGGCTAAGGCTGCTGGAAGCAGTGCTATTAAACGGGACGGCTCTGGAGAAGCCCTGGACTCAGGTCCCAGGACACTTATACACACCAGCCGCCGGCTTCCTGGCTGTCAGCCCTCTGGCTTGAAAAGGAAGGCAACTGTAAGTTTCTGTGTAGAAACCAATATTTCAATGTATAGTTGTAAATTTACTTTGAAACTAGTAAATTTTTATGATGGGTTGCTATTAAAGTAGTACTTCATGGTTTACTTAGGTAACAAGAAAGTAAATCCAAGTTAGAAAAGTCTTACTAATAAATGTTTATATTTAATCCAGAAAAATTTAAAGACTATTTACCTTGGACAAGATATACATATCTTTGTTAATCTTTTTTAGCAAATTTATTTCACATTTTCCTAAGAAATACTGATATAGCTAATGATTCTTTTAATGTGTTTAGGGTTTTCAAACACCATATAAGGTGCCAAAGCAAGTGACTGTTACGGAAAACGGTGAATCAGCTGCCTCATCTGTTGATTTGAAAGCTGGCCTGAGTTTTCCTCCCCCGTTCTCCAGCACACTTCCTTTGTTTTCTACTGTTGGTCAGAAAGATATAAATCCTACACTGGCCGACAGTGAGAATGCGGTCACCTTCCGGAGCAGAGAGAGAAGCGACAGGCCCTTTTCACTGGTGTCTTCATTCTTCAGGGTTAGCGCAGGCACACAAAGTAAAGAGGACAAATTTTCCTCTCCTGTCACTTCTGAAACCCAGCATTCAGACTCTTTACTGGCCAGTGAGCCCACGAGAAGAAATAATCTGGAATCTCACTGTCCTGGAGTTTCACAAAACATCAGAAGCAAAGCACAAATATTAGCTCTTCTGAAGTCCAAGTCAACCAATGTGAGTAAGGATCTGACCTGTGAGATTACAGGGTGTTCTCCTAAGATACAAGCACAGGGTTGTTCGAAGATCAATTCTAAGCCAGAGGAAGAGAGAAGGAGCTCAGCACGTTTATGCTCTCAGCTACGGGCAGAAAATCCCACAAGAGCTACAAGCCGGTGGACCGTGTATTTACCCTCGCAGAGGTCGCCGCCCTGTTCTCCTAGAGATGAGAATGATACAGAGGACAAACCTGAAGCCAAAGAAGACATTGATTTAGCTGAACTTTCGGCAGAAAAAAAGACAAAGCTCTTTAAAACATGTGATGAAAAGGGAGAATTCTACAGTGAGGACAACTCAGTAGACAGTAATTGCCAGTCCTGGAATTATGAAGAAAACTTAGGGGCACCTTCATTCTGTGAGAACAGCAACTTACTGGTTGGCGGTAGTAGTAAAGAAAATGTCCATTTATTATTAGAACCTGACATTGAGGACAACAGCAAAGTACTTTCTAATCAAAATGGCAAGGTGTGTGTGGAAAGGACCCTTTGCACTGGAGAAAGTATGCAGGTGGCAGGTGCAGATGCAACGGTGGAACAGGAGTGTACATCCTGTGCGTCAGGGTCGCAATTGCCGGAAATAGAGGGTAATCAAATTGAATGTTGTCTAAGGAAGAACTATAGGGTCTCTGATGACATTGTAGACATGGGTTCTAAAGGGAAGGTTGATAGAGAAAGTCTGGATACTGTTCATGACCCATCACAACCATTTTTGGAAGTTTCTTTTGATCTGAGCAATTTTGAGACCAGTGATACTGATGAGGCATCACTAGAAGACAACAAACTTTCCCAGGATTCAGAGAGTGGAGGAAAGGAAGTTTTGCTTACAGATGATTTGTGTGTTCAAAAGAGCTGTGGGGATATAGGCTACCTAGAAATTGCACGGGAACCCTTGCCACTCCTGACCTCTGCTAGTGGCAGGCCTAAAGAGATCCTTCCTGCTAATGAGGCTCTGTTGTCAGAGTTTTGTGATAGAACCTGTGTGGGTTTTTATGCAGGATGTCATGAAGATGCAGATACTGGAAAAGCAGGACAGGAACAGTGTGGTGACACAGGGAGCAGTTTAGATTCATCGCAGGAGTGGAGTGAGGATGTGCCAGTGGATAGCAAAGAAGATGGTAATAAATCTATCCACAGAGATGGAATTAATAACGGTATTGATTCACCCACAAATAAACCCAAAGGTATGAATACAAGTTTACATATTCCTTATTTTTTAAACACAGTCACTAATCCAGCTCCTGAGAACAGTGACCTGTTTTCAGAAGGTATTCAGCCTCAGCATTTTATTTTGAGAAGTCACATAGATAATGACGATGAGCAAGTTTTACCACCAGTATCGAACAGTGGCATTAGTATCCAGCTATTGAATGCCACTCAGGATCACTCTGAATGTCATGAACTAGATGAATCCAACACCCAGGTTTCTAGTTCTTTATTTTACCCTGTGAGAACAAAACATCCTGTTTACAAAGACACTGGAGCATACATTCCTGAATCTGAAGATTTAGGCAGGATTAGAAGTTTGCCATGTGATCGTTTTGAAGTGGAAACTACACAGAGAAGTAAACAACCCTGGGCTCCATCTAGAAATTCTTCAGAACTTCCTGAAGTAATAAATAACATGCCCCTTTTAAAGTCACTGTCTGTGCCTAGCACAACTTTAGGAAGCTTGCCAACACTGAAGAAAAAGCATACCTTTCAACAAGAAGCTCAGCATGTTCGAGACCCCGCTGTCAGTCCTGAAGGTTAGAGTCACCTGTCTTGTTTTGGTCTTTCCCTTTGTAGCTCAAAGGAAGGGAAGATACTGTCTGCTGGTGGCTGAGCATGGTGGCTTATTCCTGTAATCTTGGCACCTGGAAAGTACAGGCAGTATCAGGAGAATTCAAAGTTATCCTCAAAAGTAGAGTGAGTTTGAGGCCAACCTGGGCTATGTAAGACACTTCCTCAACAAACTAGGACCAGATTACACAGTGTAACCTGCTGTGGAATATTCCTTTACACTGTGTGAATATATATATGTCTCTGTGATTGGTTTAATAAACAAGCTGACTGGTCAATAGCTGAACAGGATACAGTTAGATGGGAAAGCCAAATGGATAGTGATGTGATGAAGGGTGAAGTCAGGAGTCACCAGTCAGACATGGAGCAGGAGATGAACGTGCCATGCTAATAAAGGTACTGCCATGGGGCAGAGGGGAAATAAGGAGTATGGGTTAACTTAAACTCTTAAGAACTAGTTAGTAACAAGCCTGAGCTATTGGTTGAGCATTTGTAATTAATACAAGCCTCAGAGTGGTTATTTGGGAGCGTGCAGTCGGGATAGGAAACTTCTGCCTACAGTAACCTATATGTTTGGTAATGACAACTCTAATAGAGGATAATATGATAATGACTGAGTTTCCTTCCTCCCACAATTCTTAGTCTAATTAACATTAACCAGTCTCTAGGGTATCCTTCCTGAAATGCCCGGTGCATATGCAGAGCATACTAATCAAAAACATGCTTTCCCTTTATATGTTTGCACCCTGACCCCAAGCCTGAGGTATAAGAGTACCCTCTGATACAATCTGTAATGTTTCTTTACTCCCACAGTGTGAGAGGGCCCTTACTCACTAAATTCTATAGTGTATACCTGATTGTTGCCAAATTGTCAGGACAATGTTACTGCCAGCAAAAAAAACTATCAATTTTGTAAAGTTCACAAGTCCTTTGGGAGACACTTTTTAGTAAGTGAAGTTGAGCCCCTCAGATTTCATAATCCTGCCTTTTTCATGTACTCTCCTTTCCCTTTTTAAAAAATGTGTATTGGTCTTTTTATTCTTGATTTATAAGCAGTTTTTTATAAATGTATTGTCAGTATTAATCCTTTATGATACCTGTTGCATAAGCAGTTTTTTTTTTTAATGTATTGTCAGTATTAATCCTTTATGATACCTGTTGCCTGTGTGTGTTTGGTTTTTTGTTTGCTTGTTGACCTTTATAGACAAGGTTTCTGTACAGCTCTGTAGACCAGGCTGGCTTGGAACTCAGATCTGCCTACCTCTGCCTCTTGAGTGTTGGGATTAAAGGTGTGCACCACTGTCCAGTTTGTGTGTGTGTGTGTGTGTGTGTGTGTGTGTGTGTGTGTGTGTATATATGTTTGTTTTATGTATGACTGATCTATGCATGTATGACTTTATGCCTGAGGAAGGCATCAGATCCCACTATAGATGGTTGAGCCACCATGTGGTTGCTGGGAATTGAACTCAGGACCTCTGGAAGAGCAGCCAGTGCTCTTAACCACCAAGCCATCTCTCCAGCCTTAATTTGTGTATGTTTTAAAGCAGCATCTTGTTGCAGATCTAGGACTGATCTATAAAATGTGAAGGTAAATGAACAACACTCTGTGCTACCCAATGTTAAAATGAAATCTTCTTGTTTTTTTTTTTTTTTTTTTTTTTTTCCTGACAGGGTTTCTCTTTGTAGCACTGGCTGTCCTGGAACTCACTCTTAGACCAGGCTGGCCACAAACTCAGAGATATGCCTGCCTCTGTCTCTGGAGTACACCAACGAAACACTTTAAAATTAAATTCTTATTTGTATATCACAGGTCACTTTTGCTAAAAGTATGAGAAAATTAGCATACATTCTGAAATTCTTTGAAATGTGGTTAAATTTGATAGTAGTTGCAGTTTATTTTCTAAAAAAAAATACAATAAAAATTTAATAGTAAGTATGAATTGATATAACTGATTTATAAACCGAATTAAGAGCATAGCATTGTAATACGAAGATTTGGGAAATGCAGTGTTTTATTTTGAGAAAACGATTCTTTCATCAAGTTGGAAGAGAAGATTACAGTTGCTCCACATCAGCTGAAGTCATTATATTCTGTGATGAACTTACCAAACTATTGAATCATTGATTGAATAAACATGCAAAGTTGGCTTCTTGCACATCTCTGGCCAGAACATTTTCATCTATTCATCAACACATAATTATGTCTGTATTTACGGACCACTTTATTTAAAGTTTTTGTTGATTAACATGGAACTCACGGCCAACAGCACTGAGTTGTGCTTGATAAAAACAATCCATAGGAACCTCTGCAGCAGACATCACAACTGTATCACACTTAAGGATGCTAGCTAGAATTAATTCTAGGGGACTTCAAAATAGCAAAATCATCAATTAAAAACAAAAATATGAGAATTTTGCTAGTAAATAAGCTGAAAAAATACGTATGTCCAGTATAAAATGGGGAATGTCTCTCATACTGTGCTGTTGGTCTATCACCTTTTAGCCTTATACTCTGCTTTCTTTTTCGTACCTGATTCTGTAGTATAGCGTAGCTTTGTTTTCGATCTCAGTTAAGTGTACTTCCCAGGAGAGATCTTTCCAGAATATTCTGTGTTTTATTGCATCGCCTTTCTGTAAAGACACCTTTTTCTATGATACTCTGAATTTGTCTGGTTTAATTGTGGCTGCTTTGTCGTTCCCTTTTCACCGAATGTCTCCAGTGCTGGTTGGGCATATGAGTACCTGCCTTAATCCAAACACTCTGGAGAGCAGATCTCAGCTCTACATAGTGTGTTGCAGGCCAGCAAATAAAACAAAATTCCCAAGCTGTAGTCAGATGGAGTTAAGATAGGTTTGGATAGATTTGTGCTGCCCCATTGTGGTTGTGCATAGCCATAGTGTGAAAGTTTTCTTAGCTTTCTTGTTCTCAACAATTGGGCAATTCTTCCTTTTTAGCATTTGTGATAAAAGTGATAAATATATTCTATGGCATAGAGTATATTATTTTTTAAATTAGGTTGCCAAAAAATATGTAAGAACATATCCCCACTAAGACATAGTGACCAGTAAGGGAACTGGAGAGATGATGGCTCAGCAGTTATGAAAAACTTTCTGCTTTTGCAGAGAATCCAGGTCTGGTTCCCAACACCTCTTTGGCCTCTGTAGGCACCTAACATGCACATGGTGCATATATATGCGTGTAGACAAATACTCCTGCAAAATAAAGAAATTTGAGGCAGTGTCTCTCTAATAGCCCTGCCTGTTCTGGAACTCACCGTAGCAGGCTGGCCTTGAACCTTCAATCTATCTATCTCTACTTCCTGAGAACTGGGATTAAAGGCATGTACCCCCCCAATTTTGTTATTTATTTATTTATTTTTAAAAGAAAGTAGCCAGTAATGTTTTCATTTTAAATATATTGAATTTTTGCCTTGAGAATATACCAGTTTACACAGAAAAGTACACTTAAAATCTTTACTCACATTGCGGATTAAACCATTATCAAGGTATTTGTCCTTAAAATGTATTACTTCAGTTGGAGAAGTAAATGTATTTTTGGAAATGTTGTGATGCATATGATAAATGAGGCTGTTTAATTTTTTCCATCCTAGCCAGGAAATCACCTGCCACAGTACTTTTACACACTCTGCTAGAGCATCCTCTTGAGCAGTGGGCTTCTCAGCAGGTACATATGTATCTCTCTCTAAAATATTGTGTGTTTCTTGCATAGAAAATAGCAATATTTCCATTAGTGTATAGCATATACTTTGATCATAATTTCTCAATACTGTCTGCTCTTATGCCTCCATCATAGTGTTTATTCATCTCATGCAGTAGAGTTGATAAGAATTGTCTTAGTTAGGGTTGCTATTGCTATGATGAAACACCATGACCAAAAGCAAGTTAGGAAAGGTTTACACCTCTACATCATAGTTCATTATGGGAGGATTGGGGTAAGAACACAAACAGGACAGGAACCTATAGGTAGGAGCTGATGCAGAGGCTGTGGAGGGGTGCTACTTAACTGGCTTGCTTCCCATGGCTTGCTCATGCTTTGTTATAGAACACGGAACCATCAACCCCAAGAGTGACACCACCCGCAGTAGACTGAACCCTTCCTCATCAATTACTAGTTAAGAAAATGCCCTACAAGCTTTTCTATAGTCCACTAATAGAGGCATTTTCTCTTAGAAGGTTCCTTTCTCTCTGATGACTCTAGCTTGTATCAAGTTGATGTAAAACTAGCCAGCATAGATGCTGATCCTGAGCTGTAGCCACTGTAATGTGAATATTAGCTGAGGTAGTGAAACATGGTGGCTGGTTTTCTATTGCATTTTTTTTTTCAAGTGGAACAGTTAACCAAATGATTGACACACGAATTGTTGGAGAAATTGTGCATATGCCAATTTTTTGTTAAAACCTTTTATTTTGAACTAGACTGCTTTGAGATGTCATTTCAGAAAGGCAGCCACAGTCATGATGGTTGTAAATGTTCACAATTGTGTGTTCTTAGGGTTTTCCATCCCTGGAGTTTGCAAGTTGTTAACTTAAAACATTCTTTATATGGCCGGCTTCTTGTTTGCAAGCCAGCAGATATGGTAGCAACCAAAGATTCCAGTGTATGAGCATTTGAAAGACTATGCATGCTTGTCTGTGCTAGAAATAACAGCAACTAAAGTGAAGGCTTAAGAAAAACAAAAGAAAACAAAAAAACATAGTGATTACTAGATTATCCTTAGTATTTTGCATTAACTCTATAATGTTCTTGCTATTAAGAAAGCATATTTGTGGGCTGGAGAGATGGCTCAGTGGTTAAGAGCACTGCCTGCTCTTCCAAAGGTCCTGAGTTCAATTCCCAGCAACCACATGGTGGCTCACAGCCATCTGTAATGAGATCTAGTGCCCTCTTCTGGCCTGCAGGGAAAGCATGTAGACAGAACACTGTATACATAATAAATAAATATTAAAAAAAAAAAAAGAAAGCATATTTGTTACAGAAATTTAGGTTCCATCTTACAACTGAACATGTATGTGTGTTGCTTAGATAAATGTAACCACTGTAAGCGTCTATATGATCTGGGATTTTGTTTTTACTTTGAAATGGGAGCTTTTTGTTTACAAGTTCATTAAAAACTAAAAATTGAAAACAAAACAAAACCTAGCCAGCATAACTGATCCCTGGGCAACTTGACACATGAACACATCAGTGTTAAGCTTCAATCTTTCCTTTCTTGTTTATCTCAAGATGATATATTAATGTAAATACCACATATGAAACATTTTTTAAAAACTTAAGTCCCATAATCTTTACAAAATTAAACATTTTAAAATCAATCTTTATAAAAAATTCAACTGGGTGGTGGTTGGACATGCCCTTAATCCCAGCACTCAGGAGGCAGAAGAAGGTGGATCTGACTTTAAGGCCAGCATGGTCTACAAAGTGAGTTCTAGGACAGCCAGGACATAAAAAAACCCTGTCTTGAAAAATGAAGGGGGGAAAAAAAAATCCAAGATCTTCTTAAAAATCCAGAATCCCCTTATAAAGTTCAAAGTTTTTAAACTGTGGGCTCCTGTGAAATCAATAAAAAGTTAAATATTTTCTTACTTTAAGAGGGAAGAACCAGAAGACAGTCACAGTCAAAGCAAAACAAAACCCCAGTGTAAATAATTCACTGTCCAGTATCTTGGGCTCCTCCAGGGACCGGAATCACCTCTGGGGCACCTTCTGCAGCTCATACAGCGAGTCCTCTAGGTTCGGATCGGGTTTATTTCACACTTGCTACTACTGTTCTGCTAGTCATCCCATGGTGCTGGCATCTCCAGAGTTCTAGATCTAGCAGCTAAATTGCACTTTCAGCAATAGCCTGTCCCTTCTGTGCATGGCCCCTTTAATCCTGGGCCTTCAAACTGCTGCTGAGGGTGCATCTTCACCACTGGCCTCTCCTGGCCTCAGTGCCAAGCTTCAGCTGCTTCATGCCCTCACAACCATTACCACTTGGGTCAAGTTGCCAGCACAAGTTACAGCTTTGGCCCACCTCTGAAACACAGCTTGCATGTGCTGAGCCTGAGGAACCACTCCCCAGGAGATTTCACCTCAGTGATGTTGGTTTGTTAAGCACAGGTGATTCTTCAGCCCCAGCTGACCAGATGCCACAGATTCTTCACAGAAATGTTCTGCTAGTCTTTGCTACCATCTGAAACTTCACAGGTCAGGCCTCCATTGCCTTCTCTGCTGTCCACATTCATATTTTTCCAAGCTCCTGTGGAGCAGCCCACTGAGGTTTGAACACTTAATGGCTTTTCCAGCCCAAAGTTTGAAAGTCCTTTTGTAGTCCTCCCTAAAACGCCATAGGCTGGGCCCTCCCTCGTCAATTACTGATTAAGCTTGTTTACAGTCCAGTCTTATAGAGGCTTTTTCTTAGTTGAGGCTCCCTCCTCTCTGATGACTGGCAGGTGTCAAGTTGACATGAAACTAGCCAGCATAAGAATGTTCTATAAATTATACTAGAATTGCAGCAGTACAGAAGGGCCCAAACTTGATTCATGACTTCCCTCACAATTAAGTAATTTTTTTAAACCTTATTTATTGGCCCAAAACAAATGCATGACAGTCCATTTGTTGAATGTTAGCATTGAATGATAAGTGTGTATGCCCTGGTAACTTAGCAATTTATTACCAAGTGAGCACAGCTATGAATGCAGTATATGCCTATCAGGTACTATATAGCGTTTTTTCTCAACTGAAGCGGTATCTAAAAAAAGCATTTAGGTTTGTCCTTTCAAATGAGCTTTAGGATATTTATTCCTAAGTAACAGTAGATTCAGAGTATCTGTAGTTATCCTTTTATTAATTCACCATGCATTAGAAATAGATCCTTTAAGGACATTCTTTTGGCCCTTTTTAGCTATTTTTCCCTGTATCCTGTGTGGGCTTTTAAACCTTGTGTGGAGTGAAATGCTAAAGTCCTCAAGGGGGCAGCAGAGGAAGCCATTTGAATCCTAAAAAGATCATGAAGTGAGGAAGTCTGCCTTGCAGACACTCTTCAAAGCAGAAGGGTTGCAGAGATGCCACTGTCTGCCACATAGTTAAGTCTGACAGTGTACAGACCTCTCAAGCAAAGCAAAGGCTTCTTCGATTCCTCTCCTATTTTTTTTATCGATTGCTTTCTGTATGATAACGGTGGTGATTCTTAGATGAAGCAAAAAGATCTGTACACTCAAAGGGCTTACAATGCATTAGTATACAATAAGGAGGAACATTCCTATATGTATATATTTTATATATATATGGCATATACTTACGAAGTTCTCATTTTTAATAATTAATTTACCTACAGCCTGTTGAGTTTCAAGGCCATCAGGTGAAAGGATCAGCCACTAGTGGTTTAATGGTCAGAGGATACAGCGTACAGCTAGGATGCAGTCAGTTTCCAGGTAGCATTGAATATGAGGACTTCAGGACACGCACTCCTGTTTGGACACCAGAGTTGCCTAGCACGTGTGTGCACACTGACTTCTTGCAGGTATAGTTGTGTTTTGCCAAGTTTTTTTTTTTTTTCAGTACTAAATTTTGTAAATCCTTATAGAAGAGGAGTCCAAGGATAAATTGACAAGAACCGCAATGGCTCTAGTCAGTGCACACATGGCACACATGCTTTCTGATTTGTTGCTGTGTTTGTAATTTTCCATTTTACCTTCCTTTGAGCAGTACCAGGTTTTGAGCTTTTCTGTAGTCACTGGAGTAAATCAGCTTATATAGTATTAATCTTTCCTCTCATGAATCCTTTGGTTTGCTTTTCTTTTGTGTTGCCAAGTCTATTCTATTTTCCACTCTTCATAACATTATAATTTGTGGTCACCATTGCTTGAATTACTGAAAAAGAAACTTTCTGTGTGTAATGACTTTAGATTGTAAATTTCAGACTTTGAGAGGCCAAAGCAGAAAAATTTCTGTTAAAGGCTAGCCTGGCTGTAATAGAGTTCTAGGTAGTCAAAGAACAAAAGAGGAAGAAATTTGTAAACTTTTCTAATTGTTGTTATGTGATAATTATGGTCATAGGATATGGATTCTGAGTTTGTCACAAAATGACTAGATCTCCCAAGACAGTGGCTCTTAGTAAGTATGGTAGATTGCTAACTGACATATGGTGTTCTCTGAACTTTAAGATATTGTTCTCTATTTCATCTCTTCAGCCTTTTTTCCCCCACTTTTGAGACAGTGTACTACTCAGTAACCAGGCTGGCCTGGAACTTACATGTAGTCCAAGCTGACCTTAAATATGTAATGATGCTCCTGCCTCATTCTCCAGACTGCTGGGATTCCTAACTCTGTAATTTAAAATATTTTATATGCAGGCTGTTATTCAAGTAGGATAATTTTTCATTGTGGTTTTGATTTGCATTTCTTGTTGACAAGGGATGCTGAATACTGTTAGCCACTTGTGTATTCAATATACAACATTTGTGTAATATTTGAAGAAATCTCTGTTTAGAGTTTAAGGCTAGTCTGGCTAAATAAGAAGTTTCAGACCTGGCTGGGCTACCTAGAGAAACATTCTCTCAAAAAGGGAAAAACAGAAAGGATACCAATTGAGCTATGTGTAGCTGTATACCTGGGATTCTTGAGAGAGAGAGAGAGCTAGAAAGGAAAGAAAGGGAAGGAACGAAGACAGGTAAATAGGGCTACCCTGGTCATTTACCTTTTATGTTGCTTCAGTTGGATTGAATTTGAGCCTTTACTCGGTGATTGTTGATTGTTGTTCCCAGCACCATTTGCCACTTTCTCATCCGATTGTTTGATCTTATAGTCTCTTGTCAGATGAATACTTTGCCTGTATTTCTCCTATCCTGTACATGGTCTCTGTTGACCTTTTTCTGTGCAGGAGGTTTTTAGTTTCTTAGAACCCCTTTTTCCTTTTATTGCCTCTTGTTTTGGGGTTATATCTCCAGAGTAGAGTAAGTTATTACTGAGCCTTCTGATAAAAGGAATATAGAAATATGCCCCATTTTGTTAGCTACTTGGAGATGATTGGTGGCCTTGGCAAGGATAGTCACAGTGAAATTGTATGTGTACAGGCCCATTCAGAAGGAATTAAAAAATGAATGGGGTCGGAAAGTAAAATTATGGCTAACTCCTAAAAAGGTGTCAACCGTTCAATCGCTCTACCCCGCCGACCCCCATGAAGGGCTGGGAATCAAATCAGGGCTTCACACTTGCTGTGCAAGTGCTCCATCATTGTCCTTGTAGAATTTCCATGCTAATGACATGAGACCAGAAAACATAAATACTGGGTACCTGGAAGGGCTGAAGTGCTCCAAGTAAGGATATAGCTATGTAAGCGGCGGCGGTACAGGCGGGCTGGGGTTCTGTACTGGCGGGCTGGGGTTCTGTACTGTGTAGGTAAAGTCAGCGTTCTCTGACACGCTGACATTGAAGTAGAGATGAGAATGCCATGGCAGTAGCTGAGAGGAAAGGAATTTGTGGCAAGAGACAGTTGGCCAGTTTGTAGGATAGTGAGGAGGAACCAGGAAAGTGACAGAAGTGAGGTCAGAAAGTAGGCAAGGGGACTGTCAGGTAGGGCCATGTAAGGTATCACAGAGCAGTCACATACATTGAAGAAGAGACTGGGGGGATTAGAGGTTTGGATCAATGAAGAAAAACGATTGAGCTTAGTTTTTAGAAACAACTCTGGCCAGTGGTGGAGAATGTACTAGGGGAACAAGGTGGAATGCTTAAGATTTTCTTCTTTTATGTGTATGGGTGTTTTGCCTGCATATATGTCTGTGCACCACTTACATGGCTGTGCTCTGGGAAGATAGAGCATTGGATTCCCTGAAACTGGGTAGTTGTGAGCTGCCTTATCAGTACTAGGAACTGAAGGACAAACACTACTTTTAATTGCTAAGCCATTTCTCCAGCCTCTTGTTTTGTTTTTTGAATCAGGGTCTCACAGTGTAGTTATGGCTGGTCTACTCAAAGTGCAGACCAGGCTGATCCTGAACTCACAGAGATCTGCCTGCCTCTGTCTCCAGAATGCCTGGCAGTTCTTTACTGTTAACATGACAAAGCCTAGAGTCTCCTGGGAGGAGGAAATCTCAATTGAGCAATCACTCAGATCAGATTGGCCTGTGGTCGTGGTCTTGTCTTCAAGGAACTATCTTGATTGTTGACTGATGTGAGCAGTGCCATCCCTGGTAGATGGACCTGAGCTGTGTAAAAGCCAGCAAGTCAATAAGGAGTATTTCTTCATGATTTCTGATTCAGTGCCTTCTGGGTTGTTGGCCCAGCTTCCCATAGTAATGGACTGATACCCGGAAGTGTAAGCTGAAATAAACCATTTCCTCTCCTTAGTTACTTTTGGCCGTGGTGTTTATGATAGCAACACAAGGCAAACTAGAACAGTATTGAGTGTGACTGTCATTAGGTTTTGATTTTGGGGAAAATATAGCAGAACTTAAATGCTGTTCTTGTGAGAAAAGCAGTGAATTGATTATGTAGCCATTCAGATCTGACTATATTTAAAAGTCTCCTGCACTTAGAAGGAATACCTTGAAATATATTTCATCTATGTGTAACTCTGTGAAGTCCAAAAACAAAGCTGCTCAGATCTTGAGTATGCAAGAATATCGTTTGCACAGCCCATACCTAAGATGGGACTCAGGTGAGCCCTTACAATGGAAATTTACTTTCAAAACTAAGTCTTCATAATGGAATCAGTCCAAATCAGAATGCCACCCACTTAACAATAAATCCTAATCTTTTTTTGTACTTAAAATTATTGTTTATGTTAGTAAGTTCTTCCTAGCCTGTCCTTTTTGTTGAAAATGTTATAGTCCTAATGTGCTTAGAGTAGTTACTTCTAGAATAGAGGTTACTAGAATTCAAACTAATAGAAAAGGATACGGTAAGAACATTTTAGTTAGTGATTTTCTTTTTTCTGGACAGGTGATTTCACCAGAACAAAAGATCTCTGCATCGAGCCCTGCACCTACTTTTTCTTTCGACACAAGAAATGAAGACTCTGTGCTTGAGTTCTCTGAGGAGTCTCTGAAAGCAAGGACTTTCCCTGGTGACCTTCATTTCCTCAGCTTTATCTGTGAAGGGCTACTGGGCTTCAAGTGTCAGGGATCCCACTGTCTCTTCCCTTCTGCCTCGTCTGTCATGGATGCTGTTCAGACTGCATTTCTTCTCCAGTTCTTTCTCCCTCCTCTGCTGTCTCTTCACTTCCCCCGAAGGTGTCTCTGCCGTCGAAGGACTTCTTGCAGCTAAAACACCAACACTTGGCTCCTCTTTCTATCCTGCTCTGAAGTAGCTCAGAGCAAATGTCTCATCAGCACCGTGATTGACCTTGACATTACCTCTTCATCTCCTCATTTTGCTTTGGTATACTGTCTGTATCAGGAATTCCTCAGTGGCTTATGCCATCGATCATTGTTCTCAGGGTTCAAGTGTTTGCATCGATTTCAACTTATAAGCCATTTTCTTTTCTTTTCTTAGTCTTTTTGAGACAGGGTTTCTCTGTGTAGCTTTGGAGCCTGTCCTGACACTTGCTCTGTAGACCAGGCTGGCCTCGAACTCACAGAGATCCACCTGCTTCTGCCTCCTGAGTGCTGGGATCAAAGGCATGCACCACCATCACCTGGCTTATAAGCCATTTTCTGCTTCTTGAAAAGTATATTGTTTAATAGGATCTCTTCCCACTAATTTCTTTTTCCCGATAATTTCACTTATGTGTTTTTTTCTTAGTCTGAAGTTAGGTTTGGTGATAGGCAAAGTTATACATGATTGGTGGGTTTTTGGTTATGAATTGATGATTAGTATGAAAAAGAAAACCTTTAATGTGAACCAGTATTGAGTTGGAGTTGGCTTTATGGTTGTGTCTGGTTGAAGGTGAGGGGAGGAAGGAAGGGTAGAAGATGTGAATGGGGTGGGGATGGGTGTGAGGTAGTATTCTTGTAATCCCAGCACTCATGAGACAATGCAGGAGGATGGTACTTAAAGGCTAGCTTGGGCTACTTGGGGGTAAAAAAAGGATACGGAAGAGTTTGTATGGGGGAAATACATCCTCTGAAGGAGGCATGATCTTTAGTTCTGTGATAGAGTTTTAATTTCTATCACTGTTGCTTTGTTAGGCTGTTGGGTTCTAATATAACACTTAATCAAAGAATATTCTTTGGCTCACTTATTACTCTACTACTTCTCAAATGATCATCAAAATTTATTCCCTATAAAGTATAGACTGTGTCAACGTAAGAATCTATATTTTTAGATAGACTTTAATAATATTCAATTCTTATGCAGTTTTGCTGATTCATTAATATATCCAATAGATATTTATTGCTTTTTTGTAGCACTTTCAGCCGTGTCTCTATTCCAGTAGCTACTTCTAGAAAGAAGGAATTACAAAACTCATTCAGACAAAATCTATTTGATTAATTTACCATATAAAACTAAAAACTTTTTCTTGTGAAAAGTATCATAACTCATAAATATAACATAGTTGTTATCACATCATATTAAGTGAGCTATTAACTTTGTTTGCAGAAGGAATGTGAACAGATATCAACTCATTCTGTGTTCTTTCTGATTGTGCCATTTGATCTTTGAACCTTTTTTACCACATCTGTAAAATAAGAGTGATGTACCTTTACTCAGATTTGAATGCTTTGAAAACTTAGATGTTCTGTAAATATGAGTAATTGAATTAAATACTTAGTTCTATAGAAGAAAAGAGAAGGATTTACATTTGGCAGCATTAAAAGGGTCTTTAGATCTAGAAATTAAATTTTGAAACTTCAGATTTTGATGTTAAAGCATTTACTTTGGAGGGGGGCAATAAAATGATGTTAACTTTTTTACACAGCAAGTCGGAACCTTCTGTCCTTGCCTATGTGCCCACTGTTTTCTAGAGTATGGGTGAATACTGTTTAAACATTTGTATTGAGTCAGCATTATGTTTTCTTTCAGGATGGAAAAACAGAGGTTTTGTGGAGCGTGAGAACCTTCAAAGGTTTCCATTTGCAAACAGAGCCTCAGTTCCTTTCATTGCTTTGCCACCAGATGATTCTTGTTCGTTTATGACTGATGATGATGTGCGAGAGTCTTCTGTCTTGAACCTGTGCGAAGAATCAGTTCTTTCCCTTGACCTTGGACCTGAGGACCAGGGTGAGACTTCTTCCTGGGAAGGGTCTAGAGAAAAGACTCCAGGAGATGATTTACTGCTTCTTAAGAGTTCTACACAAAGCAAGTGGCTGAAATATCAAAACACATTCCAGTGCAATTCAGCTGCTCTGAACAGAATTGATGGTGAAATGACAGAGGGCGTCTTTGCTGAGGGTGTCTCTGGGATGCAGTCTAGCCACACAAGTGAGAGGCTGCATCATGCTGTGACTGAGAACTCTGTAGACCATGTACAATTGCAGATGATGAAAGGCATGCTCTATCAGCAGCACCAGGACTTTAGCAGTCAAGGCTTGCTTTTCAGAAAGAGTCCTCTTTCTCTGAACTCAAGGCAGATTTCCAAGACTGAGGAAATTCAAGCCACATTAGGAAGCTCTACCAGCTACAACTCCAGAGTCAAAGATTTACAGGTGAGGGGAGTCATCAGGATCTCTGTGTGTTTTTCACTCAGTAGTTACTGTCTGAATTCCAACCGAAGAGTAAGCAAATTGTTTGTGAACAATTTACTTTTTTGTCAGATAGCTATTTTTTATACCTTTCTTAATAATTATGAATATTGAATTATGAATTCAAAAGTCTTGGCTACACTGTTAGGCATTTAAAAGGTATTTAATAAGTATAAGCTCTTACTCCTCTTTTTGCTACTCCTTCCAGTACTGATCTGTGATTGTTTTTATTTTTGATTATCAACTTAAACTTGCTGATTAGATTATTAAGATAAGGCATATTCTTCTATTACAAAGTCATCATTATACTCATAACAGAAATTGAAATATAAAATGATCCATTTGTAGTAAAACATTAAAATCATTAAGAGGCCAGTGAGAAGAGTAAGTCTGTTTAAGAGTTAAAAATTCATGTAGTTATTCAGGCTTTATTTTGTTTTTACTTTAGATCATAAAAGAATTTTCATGGATTTTAAAAATCAAAAGTACAATTAATGTTTTCTTCATTATATATGTAAAGCAATTTATTGGTAAATGGTGTTTTTTGTTTTTTGTTTTTTTTTTTTTTTTTTTTTTCAGGAGATAAATAGTTCTGAGCTATGCTTCCCAAGTGGGCAGAAAATAATATCAGCTTATTTCCCTCAAAGGCAAGTTCACATACCAGCTTTTTTCCAGTCTCCCATTCACTATAAGCAGATCTTTACATCTTCTATCATAGGTATGGCTGTTATATTTTTATTCTGATGATAACCTAGTGTATTTGAACTAAAAAAGAATAATACTTAATGGATTTTTATAGTAAATTCTCTTCTGGAGATTTATTTTGCATATGTTTAGAACTTATCAGTAACTTAAATCTAATGTCAGATCAAAATTGAGCTTTAAAAATGGGAAATTGCAATATTTTAAAGATTATCTCTTTTTATCTATTAAAATAGAAATAAATGTGCCCATTACACATAAGTGGAAAATGTTTAAGTACAACGCATGCTTAGGTCTGAATGTTTTGAGGCATGAGAGTAAAACTTGCCTTTTGAGAGATGGATTATTATAAGGTATCGAAGTGCCTGCCTGTTATTCCAGATGTGGGAGAGCTTGAGATCAGTTTAGACTTACATAATAAGACTTTCTCGAAAACTAAACTAAAATAAGATCAATAAATAAATGATGTGGTTGCTAACAGCACAATATTTATATATATTAAAATGTTACAGTGAGGGGCTAGAGAGATGGCTTAGCTATTAAATGTACTTTCTGCTCTTGCAGATAACCTGTGTTCCATTTCAAAAGCCCACAGTCAAATGTTCATAACTATCAGTAACTCTGCTCCAGGAAAGCCAATACTCTGTGGTTTCCTTGGGTACTGTAGTCATGTGCACAAACCCACATGCACATATGAACATAATTAAAAATAAGTCCTTAAAAATAGGAATGTTAGTTACAGTGAAGTTCACTACTACATACAGTTAATTTGTAACAATAATACAAAGTGTGGATGACTTTCAGAAGGAGTATAACAGAATCTGATAGACAAGGGCTTAACACAGTAGTGTTTTGCCTTGGATGCATTATTTGGATGACTGTGAAGCTGGGGGTTTTTTGTTTTGTTTTTGTAGAATTTGGCATAATTGAGACAATAATAAAGTACAAAAGTGATTGTTAGGGAGCTGGCTCGGTGGTTAGAGTACTCAGTGCTCTTGCAGAGGCCCAGATTCAGTTGCTGACACCCACATAGAAGCAAAACCACCTGGAACTCCAGCTCCAGGGGATCTAACTCTTGTGACCTCTCTGAGCACTGCACACACTTTGTGTGCTTACATACATGCAGGCACTCACACACATAAAACAAGAATAAATCTTTAAAATAATGGATGTTACAGTATTGTGTTACAGTTGACTGTTAAAGTCTATATTCAGATTGGCTAGGAAACAGCGAACTTGATACAAATACAAAATAATTTTGCATTTAACTTTCAGCTTTTTTTTTCTTGTAGAGCATCTGAATATATTGCTGTTTGGATTGGCACAAAGATTGTACAAAGCACTTTCCAAAGTTGACATATCCTTTTATATGTCATCGAAAGGAGAGACCCTAAAAAACAAAAAAAATAATTCACTATCCTGCCATCATAATCAACCTGCCAAACTTGTCATGGTTAAAAAAGAAGGCCCAAATAAGGTATTGCTTCAGCTCCCTCCCCACACTTACCTTATAGTTTAGCTATTATGGAAACTGAGACGTGAGTTTTCTTTGTGGCAGTAGTAGTTTAATAAGCTCTCAGTGCTTTTCTAATGAAATGGATGATATTGTGTTCCAGGATACAAAATTATGAATTAAAGTTAATCTAAAAACTCAGGGACTTAATGCATAATAGTGGATAGAAACTGATACAGGGAAGAAAATTACACATATAAGGTAGGAAGAGTGGACTAAACTATAGTGTTAGTACTGAGAAAGGGATCTGCTTGAGGGCTTAGAAAATGCTGAGATGAGACTTGAAAGAAATAAAGGCTGAAAACTACAAGGCTAAGTGAGTAGAAAAGAATGTGGGTATCACAAAGAGGGGTTAGTAACACATTGATAGCTTTTACTCATTTGTAAAACTGCTTACATCTATAGTAGCAATTAAATAATTTCACTATTTTCATGCATTATTATGACTATATAAATCTGACCTTAAAAAGTCAAAAGCAGTCAGGCAGTGCCTTTAATCCCAGTACTCATGAGGGAGGGAGAGTCTGTCTGTGAGTTCAAGATGAGCTTGGTCTACAAAACCAGTTCCAGGACAGCCCAAAAAAAAAAAAAATAAAAAAAAAATTCATAAATAATAGTATAGCTATATAAAGTGAATATGTAGCCACTAACAATCTTTGTGCTGTTTTCAAGATTATTTGATGGTTTGTTTGCATGTTCATGCTATGTTGTTTGTTAAAAGGGTTAGGTCACAAAGTATAAAATGCACCATTTTGTGAATTTTGTTTTTAAAAAAACTGTGTGTTTGTGTGCATATGTAGGAAGAAATGCACAGATATTGCTAGTAGTTGTTTCTGTCAAGTTGTCTAGTAAACACTTAACTGGCAAACAAAATTATAATTTGTTGCTTATTTTAAAGGATGTTTTAAAATAAGATTTATTTATTTTTACTTAATGTGTATGTGTGAATGTCTGCATATATTTGTACATACACACACACACACACACACACATGTTTACCACATGTATACCTGAAGCCCATGGAAGCCAGAAGAGTGTGCTGGATCCTTTAGAACTGGAATTATATGTGGTTGCTGGAAACAAAATCTGGGTCCTCTGCAGGAGTGTCAAGTACTCTTAATGCTAATCCAACTCTCTAGCCTCACAACTACGGTTTTGTCCTCAGAAAAATATACTCTTTTGATAAAGAGAAAATAAATGGACAAGTAGGTACCTTATAATTTTAACGTATTGTTTAAATTAATAAGAAAGTGATTTTTGAATACATTAATAACAGGCAGCCTTTATAAAATGCTTGACAAGCATAGTTCAGAAAGCAGTAGAAAAATAGAAATAGTTTTTTTTCACTAATTTAATATGCATGCTAGGCAAACACTATACCTTAAATTCTTTATATCTTCTTCCCCCTTAGGGTCGTCTCTTTTATACATGTGATAGGCCCAAAGGAAATCAATGTAAATTTTTCAAGTGGCTTGAGGAAGCAACTTCAGGACGAGTATCACAGGATGAGTCTCAACCCAATATGGTTTTTAATGATGTTAAGAGTATTGGCTCATATTTAAGAAGTCAAAAGGTACCAGTCTATGAGGAATGCCAGCTTTTGTTGAGGTATGTTTTATGGTACCATAAAATTTCCTGTAATTATTTCAGAGAATAGGAACCCTCACAGAATTACCAACAGTACTCTGGGGTTGATCCCAGAGTCTTTCACATGCAATGCTGTCATGCTTCTAAACCCATCAATGGTTTTAAAAGAAATTGAGATGGTGTCTTAGGGTTTCTACTGCTGAGAAGAGACACCATGGCCACGGCAACTCTTATAAAATAAAGGAAAACATTTAATGGGGTGGCTTACAGTTTCAGAGGTCTAGTCCTTTATTGTCATGGTGGGACATAGCAGCATGCTGGCAGACCTGGTGCTGGAGAAGGAGCTGAGAGTGCGGACGGAGCTACATCTTGATCTGCAGGCGACAGGAACTGGTCTGAGACACTGGGTGTGATTTGAGCATATAGGAGGCGTCAAAGCCCGCCCCCAAAGTGACATATTTCCTTCAACAAGGCCATATCTACTCCAACAAAGCAACACCTCCTAGTAGTGCCACTCCTTCCGAGTTTATGGGGGGGGGGTCAATACATTCAAACCATCACAGATGTAGAAAGTATGTATCAAGGAGATAACTTTCAGTCCTATAATTTTAAATGAAAGTAAGGCTTTAAAATTATGTTGGTCCTCTCTAAATATCAAGTGATGTCAACAGTTTCAGGACAACTGGCAAAAGGTAGTTTTTGTTTTATTTCCCTCCCTCCCTTCTTATTCTTGGCTATTCACAAACCTAGGGGATTACTGCTCGCCCCTCCAGCTGCCAAATACCCAAACTACTTTGTCTTAACCAAATCCCAACAGAAATAGGATTCCACAGCTACTTCTGGCCCTCACTGAGCCATACCATCAAGTCATTCTCTGCACTGTGCTACATCTATTCCCTTTCCATATGTGCTTCACCTCTGTAGAATTCTGTAGAACATCTGTGTTCCTTCTGTGCAGGGTTTAAATAAGATGCTCAGAATGTGAGATACCTGCATAGAGTTGCAGAGTCCCTTTACAGATCACAATTAGCATCTATAACCCAGTCCCAAGAACCAAGCAGATGTGCCTCTGGTTGCTGTTCCATCTTCCCTCCTGTGATGCTGCTTAGTAGTTGGGTAAAAGCCCCTAGACATGGTATACTCTTCAACCTTCTGCTGCCTGAGAAGAGAAGCCTGTTGGGTATTAGCAGGCTAGCATAAGGACAGGTTTGTGGCCAAGTAACAGCAAAGGACTTAGATTTTGATCTTACCCTTTCTGCTACCACTTGTAGAATGCCCATAGGGGGCACGTCATTCCTCCTATGCCTCTAGTAGTCACTGGACATGACAGTCACATGTGCCCAACCTCTAATTTTGACTACTGTGCTATTTATTCTGGACACTTCTGACCACTCCAAGACTCACTACACACCTGGGTAAGATAAAGAAAAGGTAGGGAAGACACACTGGAAAACTAAATTCCAGAAAGACATAGTATTGCAAGAGAAATTAGCCCTGTGTTGTGTTCAGGCTTGGGGTTGAGAAAGTCTATGCTCATCCACAGGTTCACTTGTTCCATACCCCCAGCCCTCAGTGTGGGACTGGAGCCCAGGGCATTGCATATGCTAGGCAAGTGCTCTACTAGAGCTGTACTTCCAGCCTGTGAACCCTGTGCCGGGGCAGAGGCATGTGCCTTAGGAATAAACCTTGTTAGAAGAGGGAAGTCCCCCTAGCACTGCAAATTGATCTATCTCAAGTGAGGTCTAGGAGCTGGCTTAGGTCTCTCCTCCCCATCCTGTCTGACCATTTCCATGTAGACCAAAGCTACAACAGAATATCTACACAGGAAGCCACTGACTGCCCAGCAGCTCCCTCTGCTGCTAATCACAAAAACTGCAGGTTTGTGGTGCCAGCCCCAGGGGCCAATCCAACTATTAGCTCAAAACAAACAGGTAGAAAAACTAGCCAGCGTCAAGGAACTACACATAAATGAACATATGCATGATAGAGCAATTTCCTTTTAACTAGGGAAGGGCTGACCAGTTACTAAACCCATCCACACAGCAGGACCAGTAGAATGTCCCAAGTCCAGAGGTTACAAAAGCCACAATCCTACATCATCATTAAGATATATTCTTTGCCATAACTAGACGGAGGTAACCTGAAGTAACAACCCACTTTGTGCTTTCTTCAAGTTCAAACCTGTTAACTGACCTTAGAGCTGAGGCAAGAAAAACAGAATTTCTTGAATTGGTCTGTTACTTCTGACAGGGAAGCACCAGGTGAGGACTGCCTGTAGGTCAGGCCCCCCCCCCCCCCAGTGACTCTAGGCTGGCAGCAGTGCCCAGGACACTGAGCCATGAAGGACCATCAGGGATCTGTAGCCCTCATGATGAGCAGGGCGCATCCTGGGCTATGACTACTGCAAGGTACAGGAAGAATCCCCTAGACAGCACCAGCAGCAGGAGCATGTGAAAGAGGCAGTAGCATTAGGGGGAATGAGGTCCAGGTCAACATCTGGAATGTCATTCAGGTGATAGCCATCCTGCAGCAAATGCTGGCTCACATGCTGGTTCACCTACTGTCAGAGTCAAGAGACACCAGGCTTTCATCTGGACTCTGGCTAAGAGCAGGATAGCCCTTGCTAAACTTCACTGACCATTTTCCTGCATAATCCAGGTGGTTAGACAATGCCCCTAGCAGGACCCGTTTAGCCTGAAGCTTAGCCTGAATGGAAGGTCCCCGCTGTGGCTGACATTCCCCAAGCTGAAGGGCTGTCCTGCTGCCCCACTCAGAGGGCAGTACTATGCCATCTGGAGCTGTGCCAGGCTGGGGTCGCTGTGTGGACATCTGCACCCCATCCCCCCACACCGAGCTCTGCGGCCACCATGACTGGCCCCGCCCAGCTGCCACAATAATAATTCTTTAGCGGTACAGGAGCAGGTCATTCCAAGCCTGAATTATAGAGCTGGTAAGAGAAAGTGGGCTCACTAAATAACTAAACATAGTAACAGTTCGCATGAAATCTTGATAACTTATTGAAGGCTTATAGATGCCAGAGTCTTTTCAAAAGACTTTGTGTATATTATTTCTTCTTAACAATAATGTAGAAGATGATGGTAATTAAGATTATTTGTTATTCTAATTTTATGGCTGAATAAATGTAGATGGTCCAGCTTCTAAATACTTTTTTCGGTCTTGATGATGATAATGATGATGATATTAGTTTGGCTTTTCAAGACAGGGTTTCTCTGCGTAACAGCTCTGGCAGTCCTGGAACTCTTTGTAGAACAGGCCTTGAACTCACAGAGATCCACCTGCCTCTACCTCCTCAGTGCTGAGATTAAAGGTGTGTATCACCACCACCCAGCTGATAGAATATATTTACATTTTATGATATCTGTGAAAGTAAATAAACATCAAAGTCTGGTTCTTTTCATTACATGCTGTGTTAAAAATTAAAATAATTCTTCCTTAATATTCAAATTGATTTTAAAAAGTTTTAATAACTTTTATTTATGCATATGTTATGTGCATGTTTGTGAACACTATATATGTGCACATTTATGGGTACTGTATGTAATGTGCATGTTTGTGGGGGCCAGAGAAGCTATTGGATCTATTGGAGCTGGAGTTACAAGTGTTTGTGAACTGACAGGGAGTATTCTTAACCTGAGCAGTCTCTGCCATGCAAATCCACTTTTATTTTTTGTTCTTTTTTTATTTTTTCAGGAAAGGATTTGATCTTCAGAGAAAACAGTATGGCAAACTAAAGAAGTTTGCAACTGTAAATCCTGAATTTTACAGTGAAACAAAAAGTAAGATTTATCTTAAGCTGAGTAGGAAGGAGAGCTCCTCAACTTATAGTAAAGGTAGGTAGATCTGATCGTGTTCATGACTGAGTTCCACACAGCTGAGGATCTTGGTTAGCATTGTTGTGCCCAAGTCGAGAAGATCCCCAAAGATCTCCAGGGAGAGACAGACCCATCAATGCAAATGCATAATGTTTATTGTTCATCCAACCATGACAGGGACCTCATCTGGCTAGCTGATTGATGCAGCAGCCACCAGAGGAAGGGGGTTCCCTGTCTACTGCCAGGTTTTTAAAGGCAAAAATCATAGGATTACATCAGTAGGTATGGGTTGGTTTCTGATTGGTTAACATTTGAGGAATAATTTTTGAGGAATTTCTCAAAGTCATATTTTGGCATGAAATACCTGTATACCAATTATTCTCATTAGTCAGTGCTGAGAGGGAGCATTCTGTGGTTTCTATGGCTTTGTCTTGTTCCTTGTAGGTGGCCTGTTGGTCACAGATACCAGTAGTTTTCAGAACTGTCTCCTGGAGACTACAGAGGAGGTTTTGGTCTCCCCTGGAGTTTCTTTTGTGGCCAAACAGTTCCCAGGAACAAAGTTATCTAGGAGGCTTGGAGGGGTCGGGGGGAGGTCTGGAGTTTCTTTGTGTTGTGTGCTGAGTCAGAGGCCTACATGTCTTTTCTGTAGCCTTTCATGGCTACTAAAGCAGGGGGCTGAGTGAGGGTCTGGTCCCTTTATTTCTTACAATTTTTCCTCAGTGTAAATTATTGGAAGTGAAGTGTTTGAGTTTAGTTTACCCCTTTCAAGCATGTCCCTCTGCAAATCCAAGTAAAGAGAATTCCTAAAGTATAACTTAATAGTGTCATACAGTGAAAAGTGTGCTATAGTAGATCATTTCTAAAAAGGTATACTTAAAAGTTTTAGAGTTTTTAGAGCTGGGCGGTGGTGGCACATGCCTTTAGTCCCAGCACTGGGGAGGCAGAGGCAGGCAGATCATTGTGAGTTTGAGGTCAGCCTGGTCTACAGAGGGAGTTCCAGGATAGGGTACAAAGCTACACAGAGAAACCCTGTCTTGAAAAACGAAAAAAAAAAAAAAAAGTTTTAGAGTTTTTAATCGCAGCACTCAAGAGATAGAGTGAGTTGAAGTCAGCATGGTCTACAGAGTTGCAGGACAGCCGGGGATATACAGAGAAACTCTGCCTTGAAAAATCAAAACCAAAAAATTTTGAATTTTTGAAAAATTTAATTCCAGAAGCAACTTTATTGAAAAGCTATACTAAATTCTTGATACTATATAAATAATAAAGTAATTTAACTCTGTGTGCCACATGGCCTGGCATTCATGACCTATTCATTTTATTTTGTTGTTTCGTTTTTTTTGTTTTGGTTTCCAAGACAGGGTTTCCCTGTGTAACATAGCATTCCTGGCTGATCTGGAACTCACCCTGTGGACCCTTCTGGCCTCGAACTCACAGAGATCTGCCTGCCTGCCATTGTATCCCAAATGCTGGGACTAAAGGTGTGTACCACCACCACTGGGTGTTCATGAGCTATTCTTACTCCAGTCCTTACATAGCTGTAAGGATTCTTTATTTTTATTTATATATATATAAATAATCCTGGAAATGGAAATGTTGCATTATAGATTATAGGAATGTAACATACATCTTCATCTTAGAGTTCCAAACTGGTTTCCATGGTAGTTTTTAATCAAGTGTAGTCCTAGTACAAGAGAACCTGTGGATCAACCTACTCAAGTGGCTATGCGATGAACTTGTAGTTTTAAGTTTGCACTTCTCTGTTTACCAGTGAGTGCAAAATGCTCTTTCTGTGTTTATTAGCTCTATGTGTTTCTCACCTACTTTACTATTGGGTTTGTTTGGTTGGTTGGTTGGTTGGTTGGTTTTTTTTTTTTTTTTCCAGACAGGGTTTCTCTGGTTAGCTTTGTAGACTAGGCTGCCCTCGACCTCACAGAGATCTGCCTGCCTCTGCATCCTGGAGTTCTGGGATTAAAGGTGTGTGCCACCACTGCCCAGCTTACTGTTGGGTTTTTAGCAGTTCTTTATATAAAAGGTTTTTATGTGTTCATGTTATTCCTTTGTTAGTCAGATATATTGTGAATGTCTTCTCATGTATCAAATCTTTTTATTTAGAGACTGATCTGGTGCTTGCAGACAAGCAACAGAACAATATATATTTCTCATGCACTAAGCTGTTAAGAAAACTTTGAGAGTCTGGATGGGGTAGGGCACACCAGGACTCAAAAGGCTAAAGGAGCATTGTGTGTAAATCATCGCACAAAACACACCAAAATGTGTCGACACTGGAACTGTAGTGCAGTGGCAGAGTGGGTACATGACGTGCACAGGCACTAGGCTCAATACCTACTGCCACCACCACCGCAAAATGCCATGCTGAATCCCCTAACTAGCTATAGTTCTTTGTTTGTTTATTTTGGTCAAGCTTACCTAGCTGGACTTGGAAAATATTTGGTCTTTCAGGCGATCTTTGGGTGATTTCAAAAACCCTAGACTTTGAACTAGACACCTTCATTGCCTGCAGTGCCTTCTTTGGGCCATCTTCTGTGAATGAAGTGGAGCTGTTGCCTTTGAAAGGCTATTTCCCTTCTAAGTGGCCCACTAATGGTAAGTATAGTCCTGTCCACCTAATTTCTACTTAAACAGAGCACACAGAAGGCAGTGAGAGCAAGAGTGATGTGTAAAAAACACAACCCAGGGTCAGCTGCCCAGAGGTACAAGCCTACAGTGGGCTTGGCCCTTCCACTTCAATTGTACATCCAGAAAATGCCCCGCAGGCTTGCCTAGTCAGATGGAAGTACTAGTATTTTCTCATTTGAGGTTACCTCTTCCTGGTTTGTGTCATTGACAAAAAACTAACACATATTGAAAGTTGAATTTATAAATATTTCTACAGTTCAAGTTCTCTAACAATATAATGAAACCTTGAGGAGCTTGAGAGTATCAGAGGTTAAGAGCAATCATTGCTCCTGCAAAGGATTCAGGTCTAGACCCAGCACTCACACAATGGTTAATAATTATCTATAATGGCAATTATGAGGATCTGGTACCCTCTCTGATCTACAAGGACACTGGGCACACATGTTGTATACATATACATGCAAGTAGAAAAAACACTTATACACATTTAAAAAAAAAAGAAATCTGGAACCATCACCTAGTATTTTATTAAAATTGATGTGGGCATTGGTGGTGTACGCCTTTAGTCCCAGCACTTGGGAGGCAGAGGCAGGCAGATCTCTGTGAGTTCAAGGCCAGCCTGGTCTACAGAGCAAGTTCCAGGACAGAGAAACCCTGTCTCAAAAAAAAATTTTTTTTATATATATATATATATACATATATATATATATATATAAAACATGAGATCTTTTTCATGTAATTTTTTTCTAGATGAGTCCTAATTTTCTTGGTCTTTGAAGGTATATTAAATAGTGTATCTTTACATTGAGAAGACTTTAGTGACTGGAGATTCAGCCGAGTATGATTTTTTATCTTGAGTACCTAAGTTATTTTGAGAAGTTCTCTTTTTAGATATATGTATTTTTATGTGTCTGAATGTTTTGCCTGCATGTGTTTCTGTGCCACACATGTATACCTGGTATATTCACTGGTCAGAACATGGCATCAGGACCCCTGGAACTGGAATTACAAATGGCTGTGAACTGCCATGTGGGTGATGGGTCTCCAACCCTGGCCATCTGGAAGAGAAACAAATACTCAACTGCTGAGCCACCTATTCAGCCCTCTTGAGAAATTTCTGTGAAAACAGACTACCCACTTTAGTTTTCTTTTAGTAAGGAAATCTTTAGGCCTGGGCTCCATAAGACTTGTCTCAAACAGAAAATTATAAATTTCCCTGACATTTAGGGCCCTGGGAAGTCTCATAGCAGAATGACTTAAGTTAGTAAGTTTATTCCCATCTAGTTCTATGAGTATGGAAGTTCTGGAGACTTTGGTTCTATTTCTGATGGTTGAATTTGGTCCATAGTGAACTAAAGACACATCATTTAATGATCTCAGATTTCTAATGTTTTATGTTTTTAGCCTTTGACCTCCCTCCAACCCCCTTCATCTTGATTAAGACAAGATCTTGCTGTGGAGCCCAGGCTAGCCATGAAATCACAGAAACTGCCTCTGCTTCTGGAGTGCTAGCATTATAGGCATGCATAACTTGCACACCCCACACAACTCATTTTGTTTGCTTATTTATTTATTTATTCATTCATTCATTCATTCATTCATTCATTCATTCATTCATTCATTTAATGAGACAGAGTCTCATTAGGCCTGGCTGGCCTCAAACTCATAGTGATTCACCTGCCTCTGGGATTAAAGGCGTGTTGGGATTTAAAAGTGTGCTCCATCATGGTCAACTGATCTGTTCTTTTTTTAACTAAGTAAACATATTCAACCAGTATGAATCTAGCAAGAGCCCAATTAACAATTAGTCACTTTTCATGTGGATATTTTTGTGTTTGTTGCAGATGTTTTCTTAGCAATGTTCAAATTCTAGTTTTCTGTTTTCAATATGTTTTAATCACAAGAGCATGAACACTCCTCTACACAGAGCATAAGCACGGTGTTACTAAAGAGAACTGCTACAGGCAAGCAGTGCCCCACACTAGCCCTGTTTTTCATTCACTGTATATTGTCCTAAGTGTGATTTCAGTTATGCAGTTTTTGAGTGCTCACACTCAAAATGAATGAATGGAGAACATAGTCATATAAGAGACATTTAAACACCTCTGAAAATTTTATTTTCTGTCATCTGATTAGTTTGAAAGCTAACCTGAGTTATAAGGACATTTAATTAGTTTGTTTGTGTTATTTTTATTTTCACCTAATATTCATTTTCTGTATTTTCTCTGCAGTAACAGTTCATGCATTATTGGTTTGTAATGCCAGCACAGAGCTGACGACTCTGCAAAATATTCAAGATTACTTTAACCCAGCTACTCTTCCAATAATGCCATACCTGTTAGCAATGTAAGTCATTTTTTCATCTTTGGATCATTGGTATTAAATTATGGTGTTCTAGTTTGCTTTCTTTTGTTTTCTAGTGTTGTGATAAACATTATAGTTAGAAGCAACTTGGAAAGAAAGAATTTATTTCATCTTATAGCATATGGTCTGTCATGAAGGGAAGTCAGGGCAGGAACTCAGTCCAGAACCCTGGAGGCAGGAACTGAAGCAGAGACCATGGAGGGATATAGCTTACTGGCTCTCAGGCTGCTTTTTTTTGTAACTCAGAACCCCCTGCCTAGGGCTGGCACAACCTACAGTGGGCTGCACCCTCCTCCTTCATCATTCATTAGTCAAGAAAATGCCCCACAGATTTTCCCATGGACCAATGTGATGAAGGTATTTCTTGATTGACTTTCCCTTTTCCCAGATGACATGAGCTTGTATCAAGTTGACAAAAAAATTAATCAGCCCAAATGGTAACTGAAAGTGTAGTAACAGAACATTGAATATATTTTACCAACAAAATTTTAATTATCTTTTAGATTAGGAGATTGCCGTGTATTAGTAAGCTAAGCATAAAACGGATGTGGCTCAGTGATAGAATGCTGCCAGCATGTGTGAAGCTCTGGGTTTGATCTCCAGGACCAAAATTAAATTCACAAGAGGAAAGAAAAAATATATGTATTATTTCCCTTCCACTTGTTTGTTTATTGTAGCTTGGGCTCATACTGAAATCAATTCCTCTTTATCTCTGGGGTAATTTTTTAAAGGATTTTTATAGATCATAACTTTATTCATCTGTATGGTTTTTCCTGAGTATGATGTTTTGTCTGTATGCATGTATGCACACCATGTGTGTGTCTGATGTCTGAGGGCCACAAAGGGTATTGGATGTCCTGGAACTGGAGTCACAGCCAGTGTGAGCTGCTGGAGTGGAAGCTGGATTGCCTGGAAGAGCAGCCAGTGCCCTTCCCTGTTGAGCCTTCTCTCCAGCTGCTTTTCTGTATCTTTGTGCTACATATCACTTAACATCCAAAAGAATGATTTGATAGTGTTGATGCTGATACTATTTTCATTCTAATTACCTGTGTCTCACATTTCAATTTCTCTTTTTCAAAAAATCAGAAATGGGGCTCAGTTATAGCTCATTTTGCCACATCCTCGAGGATCTAGGCTTCATATTTATTATCACATAAGCCAGCCATGGTAGCATATTGTGTTCTTACCACCTTGGAGGTGAAGATGGAAAAATCATGAATTCTAGTTCATCTTCAGCTACATAGAAGAGTTCCAGGTCAACCTGGGGTACATAAGACCCTGTTTTAATAAATCAAAGAATAGATGAATTAATCAACACAACTGCAAAGTGAATACATTAAAATGAGAAAAGCATGTTTTCCTGCATTGCTCATTCAACCCCATACATGCTAAATACATGCTCCACCACTGGGCTGCCCTCCATCATTCATTTGGATTCTTATTATCTATCTTGCAGCATTACCCTTTTCTTTGCCATAATGCCCTATGTTTTTGTTTTGTTTTTAAAGCCTTGTAACTTCATTTTTATGTATTTTAAATAACAATAAAGTCCATTTACCTATTATAATTTTTCCTTAAGTAGAAGCAATGTTAGTTATCTAAATCAGTCTACTACTTTTACTGCTGTGATTTTTGTGAAAATAGTTCAATATTTACATACCTCTATTTGGGATAATTAATTCTTTTTGGTGTGAAGAATATATGATATGTAAACTATTTAAATTAATGCTAGCATATAGTAGATATTCTGTAAATATTAGTTTTCTTGCACCCTCCAGATTGAAGCCTGTCTTCCAAAAATGTTCTCTAATGATTGTAAAGTGAAAGCTAAATTATAAATGTCTACTTATACATTTCAAAAGTCCCTTTTTCTGATGTATTCTCTTTTTACTAGGTCTCAGCCAGCTACAGTTAGCAATAAAAATGTTAATAAAAGAAAATTTATTCCACCAACCATTACAAATAGTAAAACAAAATTTGAACTCCTGAACCGAGGCGCCATCTTGCAGTTAGCTAGTGAGTTGATTGACTTACACGGGTTGAACAAGGATCAAGCTACAGCACTAATTCAGATAGCTGAAATGATGGCCTCCCAAGAAAATGGTGAAAATGCTCTGGAGCCCCACACCCAGTCCCTGCCTATCACAGTCATCCATGGTAAGAGAAAGACAGGCGTAGTAAATGCAGGCATTTACAGGCTCTTCTGCTCTTAGCTTTAATTTCCTGCTCTGTAAAAATGTGGATTAAAAATAGCACATGCCTTGTACGGTTGGATGCTTAAATGTTTAAATATAAGTAGAATGCTTAGAGGAGAGCACAGCGTATAGGACCCTTGGTAAAGTTAGCATTACTGTGTTAACTGCTCCATTGGAGTTTCACCTTTTTTGTATTTGACCTAGGTAGTCTCCCTCCCTCCCTCCCCCCTCCCTCCCTCCCTCCCTTCCCTTCCCTTCCATCCATGGTTTTTGAGGCAGGGTTTCTCTGTGTAGCCCTAACTATCCCAGAACTCACTTTTGTAGACCAGGCTGTAGATCTGCCTGCCTCTGCCTCCCAAGTGCTAGGATTAAGAGTGTATGCCACCACTGCCCATTGTCCACATAGATTTTTTAAGACACACACTCTTACAAGTCAGTCCTGTTTAAAATTCTTCAGTGTTTGTCTGCCAGTGTCAGGAGATATTTCAAAGACGTATATCTTTTTTTGAGACAATATAGCCTAGCTATCCTGGAACTCACTATGTAGACCAGACTTGTCTGGGACCCGCAGAGACCTGCTTGCCTCTGCCTCCCAAGACTCTTGTGGTTTACTCTCTTGTAGTTTGTGGCTTTGTTTACCCCCCAGCCTCTTTTCTTGCCTCTTTTCTGTATACCTGTGAAAATCTCTGAGAGTGTTGTCAACATGCTTAGCTGACTCTCCTAGACTGTTGGTGTGAGATTCTGCTACTGTTTACTTTAAAGGTCACCTTCCCATGTCCACCAAGGCAAAGATAGATTGTCTTCCTTCTCCGGTCTCATAACAGTGTCACCCTATTATCATATCATTATCTCTTTACCTATTTATCCTGTACACTGGAGCCTCACTAAAGATGAAAATGTTTTCTTTATCTGCTTATCCTCTTGCATAGCACATAGCAGGCACTCTGCTTTTTGAATAAATTAATTAAATGAAGGAGGGTGAGATAAAGAAAATATTGCTTGTACATTCATAAATTTTTTTATGAAATTTTAGGCGTTTTTGGAGCAGGCAAAAGCTATTTGCTGGCTGTGGTGATTTTGTTCTTTGTACAGCTGTTTGAAAAGTGTGATGCTGAAACAGTTGGAAATGTAAGGCCATGGAAACTTCTCATTTCTTCTTCCACTAATGTAGCTGTTGACAGAGTGCTTCTTGGGTAAGTATGACAAGTGGATTTAAATAACTGATATTTTAGATTATTGTTGAGAAGCAATCTACTGTGGGCACCCAGTGTCCATATGTTTTCTTGCTGCCTGACAAGAATACAAGGCCATTGCTTGTGACCTAAGGGCTATGAAGTAGTAGCAGTTTAACTTCTTAAGTAGTAATTGTTCATTTACCTGATAGTTTGTCATAAACAGTTTGGAATAACCCTATAACATGCAAGTTCAGCCCAGAACATGTAGGGTTGGAAGTGTGTTGCTGGGGGAGGCAGTCTGGTATGAGCCCTAAGCTTTCCTTTGAAAGGCATTTCTCATGGTTGCTCTGGTGGGGTAGTGTCTTCCTCTGGAATTAAAAGGAGGATTGCCCACTGCTTGTTGCTAAGAGTAGTGAATCCCAGCCTTATTGCTCCTTAGCTGTACAGTTGAACCCATTGCACCTGCAGGCATCTACTGAGATACTCTATCTCCTGGTGGAGCTTGGGGACCAAAGGACTTGCAACACCATGGCGCTTATGCTATTTCTTGTTATAAGTAAAAATCCTTTGCCTCTGACTGAGAGGGTTGGGATTATTATCATAGATGTAGGTTAAAATCCAATCCCCAAACCAATTGTAGATCTTCTCTTGCTCATGCACCTGCATAAACACATTAACATAGCTGAACAATGTAAGCTATGTCATTGTTTTAATAGGAGGGATACAAAGAAGACAATAACGATATAAGTAAATACAAAAAGAATTTTTCATTTCCTTTCCCTCTCCCCCACCCCCTTTCCCTCTCCTCCTTCCTCTTCCATACCTCCTCCTTCTCCTTCCCTCCACTCTTGAGTGTGGTACAAATGCACACCTTTACAAGTGTAGAGGTTAGATGAGAACATCATGTCCTATTTTATTGCTCTGCCTTATTACTTGGAGGCAGAGTCTCTTTCTAAGCCTGGGTCTACCCTCTGTCCCTCACAGTTCGAGGTTACGGGTGATTGTGTGACCATGTCAGTTTTTTGTTTTTTAATGTCTTCTCATGCTTGCACGGCAAGTGCTCTTACTTTGTTTGTTTCTTTGTTTGTTTGTTTTATTTGCAAAGAAGGACTGGCAAGATGGCTCAACAGGAAAAGGCATTTACCACAAGCCTGGTGAATGAAGGTACATGTGTGCCCAAAACGGCAGTGTGTGCACACACAGAGACAATAAATAAGTATATTTTTAAATGCCAAGAAAATACTCTATATTTACCAATAACTTAGTATTTATCTGAATTTCAGCATAAGCAACAACTTTATTTTTAAAAATTCATGACTCATCTATCTAGTGTTTTTGTTTAATCTTTATGTGTATGTGTGCCCCAGCATACATGTGGAAGTCAGAGGACAGCTTCAAGTGTTAGCTCCAGGCCCAGGGTAGTATCTGATGGCCTCTTCTGGCTTTTCAGGTATACATACATACATACATACATACATACATACATACATATATTCAGATAAAAAGAAATCTTAAAGAAATACTTAAAAAAATAAACCTTCAAAAATGTGTTTATCTGTCAAGTGTATGAAAGGAAGTAGATCTCTGTAAGCCTAAGTCTATATAAGTCTGACATGTATAAGCACACATTTCACAGCCAGAGGACAACACTGTGAATTTGGTTTTACCTATTACCTTTACATAGGTTTCAGAGATGGAATTCAGGTTGCTCAGCTTGCATGGCAAGGGCCTTTTATCTGGTGAGCCATTTCCCCAACCTTAAAATTAACCCTTTCATCAAATTAGTGTGTATGCTGGAAATACTTGGGCTAGAGAAGTGAATTAGCAGTTACTGGTCTTGCAGAGGACTAGTGTTTGTTTCCTAGCACGCATGATAGGTGGCTCAGCTCCAGGGGATCCAACATCTATCATCTATGGCCTCTAATTTTGCCTGTACACACACACAGATACATACATATTTTGAAGATACATAAGTATTTTGAAGAAAGTATTTAGGTTATATACCTTACATTTCTTCATGGATTATGTTTTTAATCCATTCACATTTACTTTCTGAATGTGGAGTTAAATAACATGGCATGTGTTGTTTCATGTCTTGCTTTTTAAAAGAAAAATTTAATAAAAACAAAAAAATTTTTTGCTGTTTTCTTGAGACAGCATCTCATATACCTCAGTGTTGGCTCAAACCCAATGTTAACTAAGGATGTTGCTCCTGCTGAGTTCTAGGAAGTCAGGCATATGCCACATACCCAGCTTATATCCAATTTTTCTCTTTAAACTTAAAGATTACTTTGAACCCGGGATGTATCTCAGTGGTAAAACACTAGCCTAACATGTATAACACATGTGTGTACACACAGACATGTACTGGGTCTTGCTCCCTGGCTGTCCTGGAACTTGCTTTTTAGACCAAGTTGGCCTTGTACTCAGAGATCATCTGCCCTGCCTTCTGAGTGTTAGGATTAAAAGTATGCAGTACAACACTCGATAACTTTTCATAATTATATTCGGTGATTTGCTTATACCATTATTCAAGTGATTTTTAATCAGTAAATTCCAAAATTTAACCAATATAAATTATATTGTGACAAAAATCTTTGATATAAATCTTTATATCTATCTATATCTTTGGTTTTTTTTTTTTTTTTAAACTATGTGTGACGGAGACAGATAAAGAGAGACAGAGAGAGAAGGAGACAGACAGCTGGACGGATGGACTATGGGCACACCTGTGCTGCAGCACTTGCATGGTGGTGGGAACCACTTTCGGAAGTCTGTTCTCTCCTTCCACCATGTGTTTCTGTGCATCAAACGTAGCTTGTCTGGCCTATGCAGTAAGCTCTTTCCCCACCAAGCCAGCTTGCAAGTTTAGGAAAATGTCCTAAGCTAGGGTAAAATTAGAAACATCTTAAGCTTCTGGATATATTTTATAAAATTGCTACTGTGCACTCATGAGAAATCTGAGAGTGACTAAGGACAGCATTTTTGTTGTTTTTTTTTTTAGATAATGAACTACCTGGGACTTAAATGGAAAGAACAAACTTAGATTTCTTAGCCTGAGGTGAACATTTACATGAGACTGTTAGAAAACACATATTGAGAGGTTAGGATGAATATTAAAAACACAGGAACTCTGTGCTCTCTGTCTCTGTCTCCCTCCCTCCCCCCTTCCTCCCTCCTCTCTCCCTTCCCATCTCCTCTTTCTGTGTGTGTGTGCATGAGTGCACATTAGCACACAGTACTGTGGACAGAACCTGAGGATTTGTGCATGCTAAGTAAGTGTCCTTCCACTGAGCACACCCATAGCCATTTTAGAAGGCTGTTTAATGCTTGAATCTCTGAAAAAGACCTGAGAATTGTGAATCTGTAAGTTAAGATGGATGCCTCAACTGCAAATAGGCTGGCTACCTCCATTTCTTCAGAGTAAAATATCATTCTTGTGCATTGGAACAGGCAATGTCTATTGTGATGGACAGAATAAGACAAAAGTTTTATTTGTTTTGTTTTTTAGAAAAAACAAAAGCATGGATAAATATAATATATATTTCCCTATAGTATCAGTGCTCTGAGAATACTGCCTCCCTCTGCATTGTAACAGATTTAATACAAACTTGCACTGAATAAATGAACACTCGCTATTTCAGATTGAGAAATAGCTAACTTTTCTCTAAACCGAGGTCTATTAGTTTCTTTTCTTCTTATCCTGACAAAGTAGTTTAAGAAGGAAAAGATTTATCGTGTTCCCAGTTCCAAGGAGCAGGGCCTCCTGGGGGGGAATAATGGCTGCAGAAACATGGGGCAGCTGGGCATAGTCTACCCACACACAGGGAGCAGTATGAGAGGGGCTGGGGCTTTGCTTTCCTTTCTCCTTTTTACTTAATGTGAGACCCATGGGATGGTGCCCTCACAGTTAGGATGGGACTACCAATTACTTCCAAGCCAATGCTAGATCTTGTCACACTGGGAAAGGGCTGTGAATCAATCGGAATCTATTTATATTCTAACACTGCTTTTTGCATTTATTTTCAGAAGCTGTATGTTTAAAAGACTGTAATTTGCTTTAGTTTAAGTTCCCATTAAGCTCACATTAAAATAAATAATACAGGGGGAGGTGGGGATGGGAGAAGTGTGGGTTGGAGGAACTGAGGTTAGTATGTAAAATGAAAGAAATTAAATAAGTAAATAAATAAAAATAATACTTGAAACTCTGTTTTATACTCTGTAAGTAAAGAGAATCTCTTTTATCTTATTTTCTTTAAGGCTTCTCAGTCTAGGATTTGAAAAGTTCATCAGAGTTGGGAGTGTTAGGAAGATTGCCAAGCCAATTTTACCTTACAGGTGAGACTGCTAAATCCTAAAAGTTACAGATTATTCTAAGAAGTGTAAAAATGGGCCCTTCCCAGCATCCCCCAAGGAAGTGGGGGTCGGGGGAGCTGCAGGTCTCCACAACACAGGGCAGCAATGGAATGTCTAGGTAGGTGCCAGTGAGGGCCCAGCATTTGACAGAGCAGCAGGGACCAGGGGCCTTGAACCAGACCAATGATGCTTTTCAGTGAATGCCTGCATGTAAAAGTGTAGGGATAAAGGGTTTACTGTATGACTCACCATGTCACACTGAAGCTTCCGTGATGAGACTTTTCCCCTTTCTTCCTTTTTCTTTTTCCCTTTTTTTTTTTACCTCTTAAATTATATTTGTTTTAGCCCGGCATTGGTGGCACACCTTTAGTCCCAGCACTGGGGAGGCAGAGGCAGGTGGATCTCTGTGAGTTTGAGACCAGCCTGGTCTAAAAGAGCTTGTTCCAGGACAGGCTACACAGAGAAAACCTGTCTTTAAAGAAAGAAAGAAAGAAAGAAAGAAAGAAAGAAAGAAAGAAAGAAAGAAAGAAAGAAAGAAGTGAAATAAACAAGGAATATTCTGTCATGTTATTCAATTTCAGCTTGCATGCTGGCTCAGACAATGAAAGTGAACAATTGAAAGAACTCCATGCATTGATGAAGGAAGAACTGACTCCTGTAGAAAGGGTTTATGTGAGAAAAAGCATTGAGCAGCATAAGCTGGGGACCAACAGAGCCCTGCTGAAGCAGGTGAGGTGGGATTGCATCACTTCCTTTCTTGACTTGTGTGCTCTGCTCGTTCTCTTTAGTTGTGGGGATGGACGCTGTTAGATTCGACAAGGTATGTGCCTGTGTATCCCCACAAACTACCTATTGCATATTTGATTGCTGCAACCATTCTTAGGTTTGTGATGAGCGTCTTATTCAACATGCCTGCGGCCTTCTTTCTTCTCCCTTTACTTAGAGTCTTGGAGCTTTGAATAGATTCTCAATTAGTCCAGTAAAATTAGTTATATTCTGGGAGAAACAAAAAAGAAAAGATTTTACTCTGGGTAAAATATCAACCTGCAAATTTGTCTTTGATGTACTCCTAGAAAGCCAGGCCTCTCAGTATCTGCCTGCGCCAAGAATCCGATAGCACTCCACTCCTTCCAGGTGCCCAGGCAATAACAGAAGCATTAGCCCCTTGGTGAAGGGCATCTGTGGGTAGAAGAGAAATGTTCAGTGGCTTCATCTTAGGAAAGTGGTGCCTGAGGAACAGAAGAAAAGGAAAAGTCGTTGACTCTCTTGGATCACATGGACACTGATCATTTTCTGTAAAGAGATTTTGGGAAACAGCCTAAGACCTTGTCTTGGTCAACTATTGCTGAAATCCTGCTACTGAACAGCAGGATCTCAGGGCAGCTTAGAACTTCATGTCAGCTACTATGTATGGCTCAGCTTAGACTGTAAGCCAGTCCCGTTTTTCTTCAGTCTGAAAAAGACCTTGTACTTAAAGCAGCACAGGAGAGCAGGCTTAGATCTTTAGAGCTTCTGCCCATGTCCTGTCCCCTAACATTCTGGTTACTCTAACTCATCAGGTGTGTAGCCAAGCCCACATCAGTGAGACAAGGAAACAGCCTTCACCTGCCTCTGGTGGTAAACACTGCAAACAAATAGGAAGTAATAGCAGTACATGATAGATTAGCGTTGTAGGAGTCCCCAGAATACTGTTTTTGGTTTTGCTTCAGGGTATTACTGTATAGCCCTTGCTGACTTGGAACTCACAGAGATCACCTGTCTCTGCCTCTCTCATGCTGGCATTAACAGTGTGAACTGCCACAACCAGCTAGAAGTTCTCAGAGTCCTTGAGATTAATTAAGCTTGGGCTCTCCATCCTCTCCGATACAGCAGTGGATTAGGGAGAGCATTGAGTTCAGCTCTGGCAGGGATTTTAAGGCATAAAGGATGAAGGAGGTAGGGATTCTGGATTCAGATGGGGGCTGAGTGAGGTAATAGAAGTTTTACCAAACAGTGATTGGTACTGGCTTTGCTGTGAGGAAACTGGCAACCTATACATAAGTTAGGTAAGCTATTCTTAATGTTCTGGAACAGCTAGTGCTTGTTTGTCTCAATTCTGTTTAGTCCCCTGCAGGGTACAGTTTGTAATTTTTCCTGGTTATCGTAAGGGTGAAGCCTAATCCCAGTTATCCTGAGGCTTGTTATGGCTGGACTGATGTTGAGTTAGGCCTCTTTAAATCCATTGCAGCTAGGGCTACATAGAGAAACCTCTTCTCAAACAACAACAAGAAGCTAAAAGTAATATAATTCCTTTTTGGTTTTTCGAGACAAGGTTTCTCTGTATAGCTTTGGAGCCTGGCCTGCCACTCACTGTAAACCAGGCTGGCCTTGAACTCACAGAGATGTGCCTGTCTCTGCCTCCTGAGTACTGGAATTAAAGGCGTGTGTTGCCACCATCTAGCCTTTAATATTTAATTATTAAACCGCGATAAAAGCTTATTGATTTATAAATTTAAGGTTTTTCTTCTAAATCGCTTTTAGCAGATATAGTTTCCAGAAATTAAATAGTAAATGGTGTTTCAGAGTTGTACTAAGAGTAGAGCATGGGCTATAGGGATTGAATATTTCTAAAGAACTAAAAGCTTACACACTAGGATTTCTAAAACCAAGTGGCTTTCTGTGAAATTTATTTAGTTTATATGTATGTGTGTGTGACTATGTGGATATGTAGGTACCTGAAAAAAACAGAAGAGTTAGATCCCTTGGATCTGGAGTTATAGGGGTTTGTTAGCTATCCTTTGTTGGTGTTGGGAACTGAACTCAGGTCCTTTGGAGAAACTATCTGTGCCTAACTTGCTAAGCCATCTTGCCAGCTCCCAGATTTCTTTTTAAAGTTAAAACTGTTTTCTTTTTATTGTATCCCTGGCTGTCCCGGAACTTCCTATGTAGATCAGGTTGGCCTCAAATTCACAGAGATCCACTTGCTTCTGCCTCCTAAGGTATGCACCACATCTGGTCTTATTACATTACATTAAAAAAAATATAATTTTTAAATTACATTTGTGTGTTCATGCATGCAGGCATACATGTGTGCCATAGCATGTGTATGTGTGGAGATCAGAAGACAACTTGCAGCAGAGACTCTCTCCTTTCTCCATATTGGTCCTGGAGAGTAAACTTGGGTGGTCAGGCTTAATAAAAGAATGAGAGCCTAAGTGATACAGTTACTATGTGTGATAAATGTTGTTTAGAAAATAATGATTATATATTTTTTTCCTTGGACTCTACGGGGCAACAGTTGAGAACCCTATTTTTTCTGGCTAGGTTTATTGAAAAAAAAAATTGATATTGGATGCTCTGAAAACATACAGGTAACATTATACATGTAGATTGAGCACATTATACAGATGTATTTAGGAACACACATACATACATACATACATACATACATACATACATACATAAAACAACAATTAATGAAAAAAGAGGCCATGAATTTGAAAAAAAGAGCGAGAGGGGCTGTATGGTGAGCTTGGAGGGAGGAAAAGGAAGGGGGAAATGATATAATTATAATATCAAAAATTAATTTTTAAAGATTTATTTAGTTCATGTATATGGGTATTTTGTCTGAATATGTATTTACACACAAGAAGAGAGCATTAGATTTCTTGGGACTACAGTTATAGATGGTTGTGAGCTGCCATGTGGATGCTAGGAATTGAACTCAGGACCTCTAGAAGAACAAGCAGCTAGAGTTCGTGACTGTTGAGCCGTCTCTAGTCCTAAAAAGAAGTACTTTTTAACAAAGAGAGAGTTGTTTATTTGGGCTGCCCTTGCTATCAAGTGTAATTATACTATAGATTAGGAAGGGAAATGGATGTACATCTATATACATATCATTCATACAATATATATGTGTTTAATTCACAGATACTGGACCAACAACTATGTCTAATTTTCAACATTCATAGATTTTTACTGTATGTTATATAATTCAATATTAGCCTTTCAAGCTTTGTGCCTTGAATACAGTGGTATTTTGATATAATATTTAAGGTTTATACAATTCAGATACACTAACAGGTAAAAGTACATTTGAAATTAATTTTATTTGTGTCAGGAAATCATTGTGTATCCCAGGCTACCCTAGAATTCCTGATCCTCATTTCTCAGAGCCCCCTGGGTACTGGAATTACAGGCATGCCCTGCTTAGACAGCTACCTTCTTAAGTAATCACAGTGCTGTGCATTCAGAGCTTAAGCAAAGGATAATTTCTTAGCATATTCTGCATGGGTCAGTGTTGATTAAATGTGTATTCTAATAATTCAGCTCACCTAGAAGATGAAGGAAGACATGCCATCCTTGAAGCTTTCTGAACTATCCATGCTTTAATATGTTCCTTCTATTGTAATATCAGAGTGAACATGTTCTTGTTTGTTTTCTGTAACACCTATTTAGACTTCAGACTTAGCCTTCAAGTTCTCATATATATAATAAATCATCTTATTTTACTTATCAATCTTAGTTCTTTCTCCCTCCCATCCTCCCATGCCCCCACTGACCCCCCCATTACATCCCCCCCATCCACTCCCCAGAGAGGGTGAGGCCTTCCATGAGGGATCATCAAAATCTGTCAAGTTATCTGGGGTAGGGCCTAGGCCCTCCCCTGTGTGTCTAGGCTATTCCCTCCATAGGGAATGGGCTCTCAAAGTTCTGGTATATTCTTGATTTACTTTTAATAGCCATTGTATAATGATATGATGTTTTTGTTTGTCTGGGCATGGTGACTCACAACCATAATCTTAACACTCAGGAGAGAGGTTGAGGTAGGAGGTTTTGAGGCTAAACATGGGTTACATAGTGCACTGTCAGCTAGCCTGGGCTACCTTGTTTCAAAAGCACTATTTTTTTTTTTTTTAAATAAAGGTTCGAGTTGTTGGCATCACCTGTGCAGCCTGCCCATTCTCATGCATGAATGACCTTAAATTCCCTGTGGTTGTGCTGGATGAATGCAGCCAGATGACAGAACCAGCCTCGCTCCTTCCTATTGCAAGGTAACCCAAGACTCTTCTCAATAGTACACACAGGTCAGCTTTTCAGACTTTGAATTCCTAGCAATTAAGTTCCTAACATTAGTTTTGTAAATAATAGAAAGAAACTTACTGAAGTAAGTATATCAACATTTTGTGAGCTTATAGTTTAGCCATTGGAATCACACAGATAAAAGAATATATAGAAAAGCAAGCTGAAAATGGTTTGTCCCCAGAATTTTTCTTTATGATTTATTGATTTTTTTTCGGGGGGAGTGTTGAGACAGGGTTTCTCTGTATTGTTTTTGGAACCTGTCCTGGAACTAGCTCTGTAGACCAGGCTGGCTGAGATTTATTGATTATTGTGTATAGTGTTCTGCCTGCATGTATGCCTTCGGACCAGAAGAGGGCACCAGATCCCATTACAGATGGTTGTGAGCCACCAAGTGATTGCTGGGAATTGAACTCAGGATATCTAGAAGAGCAGCCAATGCTTTTAACCTCTGAGCCATCTCTGTGCAGCCCCTGTCCCCAGAAATTTAAGAACTCTAAACTTTTATAGCCAATGAAAAATTGTGCTTCTAAAGCATCCTTGGGGGTTAGAATCTAGTTCAGTGGATAAAACATGTGTTTAATGTGATTGCTGGGTTTAACCCCAGCACCATAAGGACTAAAAGTAAACCACAGTAAGATCAGGAAACCCTTGCTCAGTCCCCAGTTGATGGACACTAAGACACCACTCACTAGTCAGGGCCCCAGGAGTCAGGAGACACCTGGGCATGAGGGCTTTTAGTTTTTTACTGAAATGCTACTGGGCAAGCAGGATGGTTTCACACTCTCCAGAAGCCAGGTCTGAAGGGTCATTGAGGCCCTGGGTGGAGCACAGAGCTGTAACACAGTTGTGTTGTATTCAGTCTTCATTTGATCCTCATAACAGCCATGCAGAGTTACTCCCTCCAGCTCACTAATAAGCATGAGAAGCAGGGAGAGCCACGGGTATGATAGGTAGAGTTGAGCTTTGGATACAGGTTTGTCTGTGAAACTAGCCCTGTCTTGTTCCTACTTAGAAAGGCATTAGTCCTGATGGTCCAAAATGGAATTTAAGCGAAGGAATTCCAAGACAGCTTCAGAGTTCCTGGGGTCTTGAGATCACTGTTTCTCAAATGTAAAACACTATGTAGGGTCAAAGGATGACTAATATATTTTATGTGGAAAAAATGTGTGTCAGTGTTCTCCCATGTTTACTCAAGTAGATGTGTGTACATGTGGAGGCCAGAGGTAGATGTCTAGTGTATTCCTTTGTTGTCCTTCACGTTCTTTTCCTGTCCTTTTTTTAATTTTAGAATTTCATTTTATATGTGTGTCTGTGTATCATGTGCTCCTAGAATTGAATAGAATTTTGGACAGTTGTGAGCTGCCCTGTGGTTTCTAGGAATCAAACCTTGTCTCAGCAAGAACAAGGGTTCTTAACCACTGAGCATCTTTCCAGCCATCTTCACCTTACTTTTTGAGTTAGGATCTCTTGTCTGGCCAGTTGAGTTCTGGGGTCCTCCTGGCTCTCAGCTCCAGCACTGGCATTAGCTGTGTGCTACTGCTACTATGTCCACCTTTCACATGAAGTGCTGGGGGTTTGAGCTCAGGTCTTAAAGCAGTCTACCCACTGAACCATGTGCCTAAGAGAGTCCTTGCTCGCTGGCTCTTGGGACGCTTGCTACATCTGAACTCTGAATACAGTTTGGAAAGTGCAATGAATGATGTTAGTATGCCTCTTCTCTTTGCTTAGATTAACTTTCTAAATTGTTTCTTTTTAGGTTTGAGTCTGAAAAGCTAATTCTTGTTGGAGACCCCAAACAGCTGCCTCCTACAATTCAGGGTTCTGATGCAGCTCATGAAAATGGATTGGAACAAACTCTTTTTGATCGACTTTGCTTAATGGCATGTACTTCTAACTACTTAGAGTTGTTATTGATTGTATACTGTGAGGGTGGGTGAAGAATGTAGATATAGTACCTCATCCTTGTTCGTCAATAGTTTATAATTGGAGTTCTTTAGAAAGTATTCATCTTTAAAGACAAGTGGAATCCTCTTGTTCTAATATACCTTTAAAAAAGGAAGTGTTTCTCTGTGTACATCACCTTTCATTATCTATGAGTGTTCCATTTAAGAGGAATAGTGAGGTGGCATTTTGTCAGTACCCAGCAACTACTACCTCTGTTTAAGTACCCAGTTCTAATCTCCCCCCCCACACACACACATACACTGGAGAGGAAAAAAAAAAAACACTTTTATGTAAATACTTAAATTTTTATTTATTTTTTTTGTTAGCATGCCAAAATGTGGTTTTCCCTGTGACATTTCACTCATATATACATGTCACTGTCTTTTATTTGTGATGATGCCCCAAACTCACCCTTTTATTTGCACACCCTTCTCTCCCACTCCTGTTGGTCTCCATCATCCCCCAGTAGTTTCCCTTCTGCTTTCGTGACTTATGTACTCCACTACTCCTGTCCCTCCCTTCCTGCCTCCTTCTCATAGTCTTTCTACATCTGTGGCCTGCGTGCGCGTGTGTGCGTGTCTGTGTGTGTGTGTGTGTGTGTGTGTGTGCGCGCGCGCGTGCATGTGTGTGTGTGTGCGCGCGCGCGTGCATGCGTGTGTGCGCATGTGTGTGTGTGTGTGTGCGTGCGCATGTGTGTGTCCTCGCGCGTGCGTGTGTGAGAGATGTGCCACAGCATATAATTTGGAGGTCAGATGACAGTTTTCTGGAATTGTTTCTCTCCTTCCACTGTGGGACCCAGGGATTGAACTCGGGTCATCACTTTCACCAGCTGAGCCATCTCACTGGCCCCATGTTTTCTTTATTTACTCCTCCATTGATGCATGACTAGACTGGCTCTATATTTTTGGTTTTGTAAATAGTGCAATAAGAAACATGAATGTGCAAGTGTGTCTGTGGTTTGCTGACTTAGACTCCTTTAGGTAAAACCCAGGAATGCTATATCTGGATCATATTTTAATTTGTAAACTTATAGAAAAACATTTATATATATTTTATATAATTTTTAATTTAAATTTGAAACAATTCTGTTTTACATATCAATCCCAGTTCCCGCACCCTTCTTTCCTCCCGTGTTTCCCCCCACCAACCCCCATCCCATCCCCTTTCTGCTCCCCACGGAGGGTGAGGCCTTCCATGGGGAGTCTTCAAAGTCTGTCGTATCATTTGGAGCAGGGCCCAGGCCCTCCCCCATGTGTCTAGGCTGATGGAGTATCCTTCTTTGTGGAAAGGGCTCCCAAAGTCCATTCGTATACTAGGGATAAATACTGATCCACTACCAGAGGCCCCATAGGCTGCCCAGTCCTCCCAACTAACACCACAATCAGGGAATCTGGGTCGGTTTTCCAGCTATCAGACTGGGGTCCATGAGCTACCCCTTGTTCAAGATGGCTCAGCCATTAAAGTCCAGGCTCACAACCAAAAATATTTATATTTTTAAGTTGTGTTTTTTAAAAGGAACTTCCATAGTGATTTTTCATAGTTGCTAAATTGCTTTTCATTCCTACCACTGTGAGACCAAAGGGTTTCCTTGTCCACATCTTCACTGGCATTTGTCACATGTCACCATGTGTTTGCTTTTCTTTTTTTAAATTTATTTTTGAGATTGTATTTTTTTTGCATATGAATGCTTACCTACATATATGTATGTATGTCTGCACCATGTATGTGCAGTGCCTGCAGAGACCAGAAGAGGCATTGGGTCCCCTAGGACTGGAGTTAGACAGTGGTTAAGCTGCCATGTGGTTGCTGGGAATAGAACATAGAACAGCCAGTGCGCTTAGCCGTGGCCTCACCTCTCTAGTCCCATTGTGTGTTTGCTTGATAGTCATGCTGCCTGGGTGAAGTGGAATCTCAAAACACTTTTAATTTGCATTTCCCTAATAGCTAAGGATGATGAATGCTTATTTTTATTTTCTTTTTACATTTATTTATTTTGGGGGCAAAGTAGGGAACACATATGCCATGATACAGGTGAGGTCACAAGACAACATGTTTTGTAAGTTAGCCCTTACCACACGGGTTCCAGGGATCAAAATCAGATCTTCACGGTTGGCAACAACTACCTTTACCTGCCAAGCCAGGATGTTGAACACCTTTAAATGTACTTATTGATCACATGTGTTAACTTGAGAACTGTGTGCCAGTTTGCCCCTTTAATGATGGGTTAATGTTTGAGTTTTGGTATTTTGGGAGTGCTCTGGAGATTTCAGATATTAATCCCCTGTCAGATGTATAGTTGGCAGACTGCCTCCCATTCACCAGGCTCTCTTCACTCTGTGCATGGCTTATGTTGCTATGTAGAAAACTTTAATTTCATGCAGTCCCATTTGTTGCTTCGATTCTTGATATTATTTTGTGTGTTGTTTGCATCCTTGCCCCTGCCTGTACTTCCTCTAGCAGTGGCAGAGTTTCAGGTCTTATGCTAAGGCTCTTGGTCTGTTCTGAGAGACAGAACTTCCCTTTCATTCTTGCACTTGGTAGTGCGCTTCCCTAGCGCCAGTGCTGAACCTTTTTCAGTATATGGTTTGACATCTTTGTGGGTTCATTTCCTGCTGCTTCATTCTGTTCCACTCTGTAGCACTATTGCTGTTTTGTTACAGTGGCTCTGTAGTGGTTTCCCGTCATGGGGTCATTAACTCTACACTTGCTATAGAAGTTTGTTGTTGGCATGCTTTGCACCTACTTAAGATGTTTTGTACATCCGGAAGTTTCATAGATAGTGTGCTCCAGAAGCTCACTGGGGTGGTGAGACTTGGACGCAAGGGGGCAGTAGTGAGAACTGGAGCTGCCGTGAATATTGGAGTTACCAAGGGAGAACGTGAACAAACTGTAACTCTTCTGTGGTAGCAGGTGTTGAACTTAGGGCTTGGTATATGCCGGGCAACACCATTGCATTGAGCAACCACCACAGCCCTCTTCTTACTTGGCGGTTTGAGACCGTCTCTGAGTTGTCCTTGAACTCCTTGTTTAGTCCAGATAGAGCTTGCACTTGCGATCTGCTCACCTTAGCCTCCCTAGAGCTGAGATCACAGACTTGTACACCAGGCTTTCCTAATATTAAAGGACCTTAATTATTAGGTCAAACTCCATGTAGATTATATAAAAGCATAATGTTGAGGGGAGTGAACATTAAGATTTGATTTACTTTATATTTTGTGGTTTTATAGTCTGTGAACACACTTTTTATAATTTATTTTAAAACATTTTATCTGTAGTCTGTTTTCTCTTTATTATAATTTATCTAAGAATGTGATGTAACATTAAAAAGTTTTAAATCTGGTTTCCCTTTCTCTAGAAAAAAGGAAATGCTGTGTTTTAATTTTTTGTTTTCATCCATCTAAATTAGGGTCACAAACCCATTCTGTTGCGAACCCAATACCGCTGTCATCCTGTGATCAGTGCCATAGCTAACGATCTGTTTTATGAAGGAAACCTCGTGAATGGCATTTCAGAGACAGAGAGGAGCCCTGTACTAGAGTGGCTGCCCACACTATGTTTCTATAACGTCACAGGAACAGAGCAGGTGAATGACATCAGTGTTGATGGGAATCACTAAATTTCTTGGTTTAATTTTATTGTTGTTGTTTGTATGGTTTCACTCAGTCTTCCCAGGGCCTTTCTGGGAAGACAATTTTGGATCTGTTTCCTACTCCAGGTTGAAAGAGAGAACAGCTTTCAAAATGTGGCAGAAGCTGCTTTTATACTCAAGTTAATCCAATCACTGATCGCAAGTGGAATAGCGGGCTCCATGATTGGGGTGATAACATTATACAAATCGCAGATGTATAAGGTGTGTGCTGCATATGTCACATATTAAACATCATATTCTATGATATTTGGTGTAATATTTGCAGTAAGTCACTTCGGTGCCTGAGACTCCTGGGGTTGTCATTTGTGTACTTACAGACGAACATTCTGATGTATTTTCTGGCCTGGATTTTTTCTGCATAACTCAATGTAAACCTAACAAGGTTTAATTAAATTCATTTTACAGCTGTTGGGACAAAATGCAAATAAACAGATTAGAGGAAGAAAATGTGGTGTATGCTTTGTGTCTGGGGACAGATGGAATTGAGACTCTGTTTTTCAAAATGTTCTTGCATTTATTACCTTTCATCAGTAAATCAAGGATGGATACCAGGCATTAATGGACTTAAGAGCCAGTTACTTCTAAGTAGATTCTTCTAATCTTTTCTCTCTTAGTATTTTTCTTTTTCATTATTAGCTACTTAAAAGCTCAAATTAGCATATATCAATAAAATCCCTGTGATAGGTTAATCATCACTTGGTTATGCACTATAAATAATAATGTCATTTTTAATTTTAGAAGTTTTCTAAAATTTCTTATGACACAGTCATAAGAAAGAAATAAAAATGGTCCTGAATTAGTTTATTCCAAGTGGTTGTGTTGACTAGTGTGGAAGCTAAGTTTTTCATAGTCTCTGTACTGTATGAGCCTGTCCTTTCTCTGCAGATTTGCCATTTACTCAGTGCTGTGGATGTCAACTATTCCGATGCTAAATCTGTGCAGGTGTCCACTGTGGATGCCTTTCAGGGCGCTGAAAAGGAAATCATTATTCTGTCCTGCGTGAGGACAAGACAAGTAGGATTCATCGATTCAGAAAAACGAATGAATGTTGCATTGACCAGAGGAAAGAGGCATTTGTTGATTGTGGGAAGTTTATCCTGTTTGAGGAAAAATCGACTATGGGAGCGTGTGATCCAGCACTGTGAAGGTAACATAAAAATGTACTTATTTCAAGCATTTTTTTTTTTTTTTAATCAAACCTGACTTTGTGGGGTTAATCCCTGGGTGGTTTGTGAGGAATAGCTAGGGCCCAATGCCTGAAGGGGCAAGAACATGAAAACCACTGTAACCAACAGCTCTTATGTTCTGTCTCTTTTAAGGAAGGGAAGATGGATTGCAACAAGCAAGCCAGTGTGAACCACAGCTGGACCATCTTCTTAGAGATTATTTAGAAAGACAAGCAGAAGAAAAACAGAAGAAAAAGGAAAAAGAAAAATCTAAGGATAACTCTCATTAACAAAAACAACAACAAAAAACATGGCCAGGAGTGTTGGTATTGTAAATTCAGAATCTTTTTACACTGTGTGTTTAATATTTTTCTTTATTGTAAAGCCCCTGATACAAAAGTTACATTATTTAAATAACATGCCAAATAAGTACATGTAAGAATTTCACTCTTTAAAAAGGTCTGCATTTTATATTAAGATGGCAGGTGCTTGTATGACAGACAGATGTCTTGTTTGTGAAAGGAACAAATTTTACAAGAGTTGGGAAAACATTCCTGAGAATCTCAGTATCCCTAAAAAATACACAGTGATCTCAAAAGTTTTTGTGAGGGAGCACAGCCCCAGTCAAGACCACTGGCAGACTCTTCTGAACTTGAAACACATGAATTGTCCCACCATTTAAAAACTAAAGCCATTCACAATAAAAATCTAAATTAAAAATACTGAAGAAAAGGTGTGGCACAGCACTGTGCCACATACAGTAGGTGCTGTAAATATCCAGGGAAGTGGACAGGACAGGCCACCCCCCCCCCCCCTCCCACACCCCCCCCCTTTTTTTTTTTTTGCCACAACCCCACCGGTAAAAATTTAGAATAAATGTATAAAGCCTTTTTTATTTTAAAGACAACATGTTCTCATAGAAAAATACAGATGCTATATATATATATAAAAAAAATTACTTAGAAATCCACTATTCATTAACAAATTGTTTCAGTCTTTCTATATTTATAGTTGCTCTGTAAATATATACATGTAAGTTTTAACAACTAGGGCGCGCACATTTTTTAGATAAAAATAAAAAATAAAAAAAAGAAAAATTTAAAATCAAAAAGGAAAAATTAATTTTTTTGGTTTTTTTTTTTTTTTTTTTTTTTTTTTTTTTTTTTATAAATTTTTTTTTTTTTTTTGTTTTTAGTTTTTTTTTTGGGTTGGAATTAAAAAAACAGGAAATTGTTTCCTTAAATTTTCTTGTAATAAATCTTACCAGTTAAGGGCTGGCAGGATGGTGCAGTGGGTAGAGGCACTTTGCTGTCAAGCTTGACAACCTGAGTTCAATCCTGGATCCCCACATGGTGTACAGCTGGGAGAGCTGACTCAAGTAGGCTATCCTCTGACCACACATATGGGAAAGAAGTAAATCCATCCACACGTGTGGTATAGCAATAATCGTTCTATTTTCATGTGTGTTTGGGTGCGTGTGTGAATGCTCGTGCATATGAGTGTACATGTGTGAGTGGGCAGATGGCAGCAAGTCTCCCTACATTACAGTGTCTCTGAGCCTGCAGCTCATGGTTTGTGACTAGGCTGGCAAACAGCAAGCCCCTTTGATTCTCCTGCTACGCTTTGTCTTTCTCAGTTCTGGAATGACAGGCATAGGGGAGGTTACCTAACCTGTCATGAAGGCGCTAATGTCTAAATTCTGGTCTTCGTGCTTGCTCAGCAAGTGTTTACCTGCTGAGCCATCTCCAACCCAGGAGTTATTCTTCTTAAGTGCTTGTCCACATGTGAAGTAAACGATAAGATTGTCCACATCTTCACAATGTATAAGGTCTATTTGAAGTACTACGGAGCTGTGCTTTGCCTGTGGGCTGTGAAATACAACTAATATTTAAAATGTATTCCTGAGCTTTGTTCTTCAAACCTCCCATGTTCTTTATTTCTTAACTTTGAGTCTTTTCTTGGTGTGAGCAAGGTTTCAAGTGATTTTATTTTCTAATAATATCTAATAAAGAGATATTCTGTCTTTTATTTGTTTTTATTTTAAGGTTTGCTTGTTTTTATGTATGTGCTTATCTTACCTGCATGTATGTGTGTGTACCACCAAAATGCCAAGACCATAAAATGGAGAGACATCGAAAGCCGTTAGGAAGGACACCAACTCACAGAAGCAGGCCTGCATTTAGGGACCTTCCCAGAGATTCAGACGGCCAAAAAAGGATGGAGTGAAAGTTCAGGCCATGAATGTAAACAACTACCAGTCAAATATCTAGCAAAATTATCTGCTAAAATTGACAGAGAAATTCACAAGCATTTCAAGACAGGCACAAACTAAACAAACTCATGACCACCAGGCCAGCATTGCAGAAAGTATGAAAGGGATCCCACACAGTGGAAGAAAGCCGCAATCATGAGAGAACAGAAAAAATATAAATTTCGTGAGAGGAATAGGTAAACAAAAACAAACAAAAAAACTAGTGAAGAATCAATTGTGTTCGACTCAGAAAACCTTAACACTTACAGGGAGAGCTAATAAAAACAAATAATAATTGAACCAAACAGGAAAACAACAGAAGTATAACAACCAGCCAATCCCTCTCAATAACTCAAAGTGTAAACTGTCATTAAAAAGACTTAACTATTGGGCTGAAAAACAAGAACTATTTGTTGTTCATAAACACCTGTGTGGGAGAGATACGCAGAGTCAAATGATGGAAGTTTGTATGCCAAGCCAAAGTTATAATTAACTCTGATAAGGTAGACCTCAAGGAAAATCTTAAGATAAAAGAATGTCACTATATTTTATTTACAGGAGCAGTTCATCATGAAGATATACCAATGGTGTACTCAATTTTACAAAAACATGATAACCACTCCTAGATACAAAAGGCAGGTCTGTCCAGATACGGTAATAGTGGGCAACCTCAATATCCCATTTTCATCAACAGTAAGGATGATTAAACACACACAAATCAATACATGTACAGACTCATGGGCAGACGCCTCATGATCTCAATGGAGACAAAAGGGTTTCAAAAATTCAACATCCCTCTGTGATAAAAATCCATATGGAAGCATATGGATTTCATAGAAAGAATGTACCTCTAAAAAGACCCATAGTGAAGAGGAAGGTAAGTAATAGGGATGGGATGGGGATAAGGTAGTAATAGTAATAATTTGTGTGTGTATGTGAATTGTCAAATAAGTAATTTGATTTTTTAAAAGGCTATATTGGCCAGGTGTGAAACGCACCTTTAATTCTAGTATCCAGGAGGCAGAGGCAAGCAGATCTCTGCAAATTTGACACCAGTCTTGTCTACATAGTGAGGAGTTCCAGGCCAGTCAGGGCTTCAAAGTGAGACCTGCTCCTCCCTTGAAAAGGCTATAATTATGCCAACCTATATCCTACATTATACTAAATGTGATAAAAGTTGAGAGCATTTCCACTAAAATCGGGAGGTACTGATGTCCACTCTTTGCAACACCCCCACCACACACACACACACACACACACACACACACACACGCACGCACGCACGCACTCACGCACACACATCAGATAGGGTCTCTCTGTAGCAGCTTTGGTTGGCAGTCCTTGAACTCAATATGCAGATCAGGCTGGCCTTGAGCACAGAGATCCCTCTGCCTCTGCCTCCCAGGTGTTGGGATTAATGGTGTACGCCACTATACCCAGCCTTATTTTTTCCAGTTTAATCCATTATAATGCTTGAAATTTTAGTTAGAGCAATAACCTAAGAAAAAGATAATTAAAAATGAAAACTATAAAAGAAGACAAATTATCCTTTTTTTGCAGATATTACTTAAAATACTAAAAATACCCAGGCTCTACCAGGAAACTCTTAGACTGATAAAATGCTTTTAGCAAAGGAGCAGAACATAAGTCAGCATTTAAAAACTTGGTAAATTTTCTTTATGTCTGATAAAACTGTTTTAAGAAAGAATTTCTTCACAATAGCTTCAAAGAACAAAGTGTCTGGCTGTTGGTTCAGTGGTTAAGAGCACTTGCTGTCCAGGCAGTGGTGGCGCACCCATTTAATCCTAGCACTCAAGAGGCAGAGGCAGCTGGGTATCTATAGTTTGAGGCCAGCCTGATCTATAGAGTGAGTTCCCAGACAGCTAGGGCTGTTACACACACACACACACACACACACACACAGAGAGAGAGAGAGAGAGAGAGAGAGAGAGAGAGAGAGAGAGAGAGAGAGAGAGTTTTATTCAGTAGTAAAGAACAAAATAGGGGCTGCAGTTAAGGGCACTGCCTGCTCTTCCAAAGGTTTTGAGTTCAATTCTCAGCAGCCACATGGTGGGTCACAACCATCTGTAACGAAATCTGGTGTCCTCTTCTGCAGACATGCAAGCAGAACACCGTAGATATAATAAATAAATTTAAAAAAATTGTGTCGTTCCCAGAAAAGTGAGAGGACTAGAGATCACCATGTTAAATGAAACAAGCCAGATCCAGAAAGACAAACAGTTTTCTATTATATGCAGGATGCAGATTTTTAAATAAATCACATGAGAGCTGAAGGTGGACTAGGTAGAAGGCATTTAAGGGGAGAAGGGAGGGGAACAAGAAAGGGTAATGGAAGAAAGACAAATATTATGTTTTATTTTGAGGCAGATCTCTACCTATCTGATATGGAAGCCAAAGGGAGACTATTGGGGGATAAGACAGGCCCACAGAAGGAAAGGGCTAAAGGTGAGTGGATATGAGTAACTACAGTGATTAAGTGTGTATGAGGATGTCATTAAAAAAAAAAAAAAGCCCATTCTTTTGTATACAAGCAAAAATGAGAAATAAAATAGAAGGGAACCCTGCAATGCTGTGATCCAGCATGCCACTTAAAGCAAGGAAACATGATGCTTAACTGGGGTGTGTTAGTAGCTGAGCTGGGTTGAAGACAAAATGTTTGTTTTATGGTTCTCTCCTCTGCAGCCAGCCAAACCTGTGTTTGGAAGCATATATTACAAGTTAAATTTTGAAGTTACGATGCCAAATTTTAAACTTCAAAGTAAAACATAACTTTTGGCATTATTCTTTCATATTTAAGCAAACAGTCTGATTGGAAAGTGCCAAGGCAAATCCTGGAGGCTGCATGCTCTCAACTACAGTTTAATTTGAAGGCAGCTGTGAAGTAGGTTTATACTAATTAGATTTTTTTTCATATTAAATAAGAATGAACTGGAAATTGGTGATTTACTTGACAGGTAATTGGGCTTTGAAAATTAAATAATTGCTCTAAAAACATTAACTCAGCACTGATTTGAAATGCCTGCTTTGTTACCACTCATGAACAGAAAGTAAGTTTGGTCCAGGTTGCATTAATATGACTTGATTATACAGTCAAGGAAAAATACTGCCCACCTCTCCCTGAATCCCTCCATTCTTTCCACCCATAAACACGAGTTATGTTGATTAAAATCTAAACCTTCTCTGTTAGTCTCTAAGTTACTGGTTTTCTGCTCTCTAATTAGACAAATCTGAGTGGGGATAAATGAGTGTGTGAGATTGTGTGTGTATGTTGCACATATGTAAAGAATTAGGAAGTGGGCAACCGAATAGTCTGGTGCAAGTCTCCATGACACGTGTGTGCAGCTTGTTTTATGGGTCAGACTAGGCAATGAGGAACTGGTTACAGGCTACTCTAACCTCAGCTCCTGGGGGGAAAGGTATACATATTCTCCCTTACAGAGAA